TTTCTTAACCTCAAAAAAGATTACAAACCCAGAAATCGCTTGCATTTAAATGAGACTTGACTTGAGCTGCAACTCTTCCCCTCAATATAGCAGAAAGCAGGGTTTTCAATAGATAAATTGGAAGAAAGGAAATTTGCTTTTAGTTGGTCAGTGGAGGATAATTTGAAATTGTTTTTACAGCCTGTAGTAACCTAGATGACTGTCAGTACATAAGGGCGCAAAAGTTAATATGGAAAGCCTTTCTGGTCTGATGCACTGTGCCTTGAAACAAAGCAAGCTTGCTAGTTTTTCTAGACACCTGGAAACTTGTTTAGCCTCCTGAGTTGTGCAGGAAACCAGGTACATATAAATGTTAGGGTGGCCTGACATCTCAGCCACCCAAAGCAAGGCACACTCTGCAACTTCGTATTTCGAGCCTCTCTCACCTCCTTCTGTGCTCCCCTTCCCCATCCTTTAATGCTGCCCCTTTTTCCAGGCACCAGTGTGACCTGTGCAATAGAATCTCCCAAAGAGTCATCTTCAATGGGTTCTTAAAATGCATCTGAAATACGTGTCTGCCAATAAATGGCACGGGTACTACTTATTTCTTGGGATCCTGGCATTTGGTGGAATCCTTCATGACCCCACCCATACGGATTTCTAATGGTAAAACTAAGACACCATGATGGGATGGGGAGAATGGAAGCTCAGATATTTGGCTAGTGGGAGGTGCCTCCCCCAAATCTTAAATGACTGAGAGCGCTTCCCATCTCCAATTTCAAACTGGCTAACGTTACAACATTTCTTGGAAGTTTCTTCTGAAAGAGACCAAAAATCTACTGATTTATTATTATATAAGAAGATTCATCTGCGTTAGCCTACATGGTTAACTCCCTGATGTATTCTCGTTTGTAACTAGATTTTCTAATGTCAATCAAATTTTAACAATAAAGCAATTCTCAGGGCTTCACAGTGAGGCTTGTTGGTTCAGATGGCTCAGGCAGAATCTGTGCAGCTGACCCTTCCTTTTTAGAATTGGTTTGTTTTTCTCAGCACCGAATGGTATAAGGAATATTTAAGTGTAAAATGTGCATTTTCCATCCACTTACATTATAAAATTAGAGATGAGGAAGTCATAGGACGTCACTGATGTCTTCCTCAGGCTATTAAACTCCTCTTAGCTTTACTTCCTCTCTCCCAACATACAGCCCACGATGGAATATTTACCCATTTTATAGCAGTATCCTCAAAATCCTCTATCATTTTTCTTTCTATTTTGTTTGCTCTGATGACCCCTAGACTTGGACTAATTTACCACTCTGCTTTTATCTCCCTCTACACCCAGGCTGACAGACCCTGGTGGAGTAAATCACACTGGTATTTTGACTAAAATTTTGAGATCTCCAGATATCCTTTTATGTGTAGTTGGCCAGTACTCCCTCCCATTATTCATAGTGTCTGTTCCAAATATTTTCCATTCTTCTCAAACCCCTACCCTATCACATTAACAAACAACCTTTCCTCCAACATGAGCTACAAATTCTTTCAACTTCTCTATGCATAAACTCGTCTATATACATTACCACCTTTTTTCTTCCTAGCTCAAAGAAAAATATCTCTCCTTCCCCCATTAATCTTTTGATATAAGTTCCATTTTTTTATCCTCCCATTTAATACATATTTATCAAATATTAATTATGTGCAACTATGCTAGAAGCTTGTGGCATTGTAGTAAGCAGGAAATTCTGGATGCAGAAGGCAAGAAATAAAATCAATAAATCAATGACATGGCCTCCAGAGCTGTGAAAGAATATGTTTCTGTTGTTTTTAAGCCATAAAGTTGGTTACAGCAGCCAGAGGAAACGAATATAATTTTGGTTTCAAAGAGTAGGTTGCTGCTGTAACAAATACCTAAAAATGTGGAAGGATTATTCAAGTAATAGCCAAAGAATTGAATAATAGATCAAAGCTGGGAGAATTTTGAGAAGCATGACAGGCAAAGCCTACATTGCATTGAAGAAATTGTTGGTAGAAACACGCATGTTAAAGATGCTACAGGTGAAGGCTTAGAAGGAAGTCAGAAGTACAGAAAAGAAAGCTTCTGTCCTCTTTAAGAATACACATATTGTCGGGGCGCCTGGGTGGCTCAGATGGTTAAGCGTCTGCCTTCGGCTCAGGTCATGATCCCAGGTCCGGGGATCGAGCCCTGCATCGGGCTCCCTGCTCCGCGGGAAGCCTGCTTCTCCCTCTCTCACCCACCCTGCTTGTGTTCCCTCTCTCGCTGTGTCTCTCTCTGTCAAATAAATAAAAAAATCTTAAAAAAAAAAAAAATACACATATTGTCTTGAACAGAATTTGGTAAAAATATGAGCATTCTAAGTGCATCTTGTGAGGGTCCAGAATGAAATGCAAGAACACATTACTGGGAACTGGAGGGAAAATGATCCTCCCAAGATAGTGGCAGAAACCTTGGCTAAATTGTGTCAGATAGCTGTGTGGAAGCAGAAATTGCAAGCCATGAACTTGGATAGTTAGCTGAAGAGAGTTCCAAGCCAAGTGTTGAAGGGTGCCTGGTATTTCTTTTCTGTTCATAGTAAAATGTGAGAAGAAAGAGATAAATTGAGGAAGAAACTGATAAGCAGATTTTTTTTTTTCGGTAATTTGTTACAGCAGCTACAGGAAAGTAATACAGCCTTTAGTGAAGTCAGGGATATCTCGTGTTATTTAGAAATGCCAATTCATGGATCTCTAGGGTAGAATCAGATTACTTTAGGCTGCTGTTAGTTAATGTTAACACTAGATGAGGATACCTGATGAAAATGTGTCATTTTGATTTTATATCATTCAGGACATGCTCCTATCAGCCCTAGATTTATTTATTTGTTTATTTATTTATTTATTTATTTATTTATTTATTTATTTTTAAGTTTATCCACCAATGGTAAGTAAAATTAAATCCACTTTGTCTTAGAGCTCAAGTTCCCAAACTGGCCTATCAACAACTTGTGGGTTGTCTTTTTGTTTGTAGATTTTTACTTACATTAGTTTGTTTGTTTTTTAAGACACAGATTCTCAGAGCGTATTCAGAACTGCTGAATTGATTTTCTGGGGCCGGTGATTGGATATGTATGTTTTCATAATGTTTTGTAGGTTAGTATCATAATCACCCACTTTAGGGAACCATTGAAATTACAGACCAAAGCTGGATTTGCCTACCTTAAGAAATTCCTTAGTATCTGCTGTTGTCAGATATATAGTAGGTGAGTTCTATAAAATATTTGCATTTAGTCTTACAATAAGGTGATTCTTCATCTCTGCTTGGAGGTTCTTAATCTCTGGCAAATCGAGGTTCAAAAGAGTTACACAACTTTAATCTAAGCCAGTAATCAGGGGATCAGGTATTTGCCCACATATCTATCTGATTCCAAAACCCATGATCTTAGTACAGAAAAATCAGCATAGTGCAGTGGACTGACAACTATTTGTTCACATTTCCATACATATACTTTCTAGGTGAATCATTTGGGTAAGTCATCTAACTTCTCCAGCTTCAGTTTGCTCTATTTAGAGACGAGGGTAAAAAATATGGATCCCAAGCAGTTGTTACAATTATCTACATAATAGTACTTTATTAAGTACTATTGATAAATGGTGAATGCATGGAAATGTGGTTTTACCATGGTTTTTGCTCTTATCTATTTCTTTTTTACAGACTAAGAAAAGTATAGCTATATTGTCTGGCAGAAGTGCCTGCTCCCACAAAATGTTACATCTGCTGCCAGCTTCCTTTATTCTTGAGAACTTAAGGCTTCCTAAATGGCTATTTCTGGAGCCAGACCGGACCAGAGTTTGAGTCCCAACTCTGCCATTTACTAACAGTATAATCATGAACTAGCCTCACCATGATTTCAATTATTCCTCCATAAAAAAGGAGAAGAGATGTTGTTGGTTTAAATTGATAATACAGCCTGCCTATAATATTTATTTATGATCATTGTAATTTAATTATGACATTACTAATAGTAGCTGTGTTAGAAGGATGACAAATACTTTTTGTGAGGTTCCAATGAAGAGTAACAGGCAAGGGATGGAAGACCGCCAGCAGCGAGGCAGTACACATTGCAGGGTGTGGAAAAAAAACCCAAGACCAATTAAAACCCACCTGAATACCAACTCCCACTGTAGCTTTATCCTCCTCTCTATGGCAGGAGGATTATTTCTACTGTGGTTACTCTGTAGCACAGAAAGTCTCAGCAAGTAACCCTTAAATAGATAGAGAATATGAAGAGTTTAATTATACATCTCCATATATATCCATAAATACACTCACATGCAGGGTGGGAGAAAGGGAGAATATTTCCTTTGGCACTTGGCAGGAGGCCATTTGGAAGGGCAGTCAGAAACTACTTGGTAACATTAAATAAGTCAGAGTGTTCTCCTGTGGTATATGGTCTAAGTAGGATAGCACTAGCTACCATTTGGTGAATCCCTATGCCAGGAACTGTGCTAGACATTTTACGTGCATTCTCACTAGACTGTAAAGCTCTGTTGAATAAGAACATTTACCTAATTTTAAAGATGAAGAAACGGAGACACAGAAAGATTAAGTATGGTATCAGTGGATAAAGATCTGAGAAATATTGGGGGTGAGATTCAAAATAGTGTCTAACCACCTGCGAAGCCTATGTCCTGTCCCCTACAGCAAGATGCCTCCACAGGAACTTCTCATGTCTTGCATTGCTAGTCCTTTTATAGCAACTACTGTTACTGGTTATTCTTACTCTGCTTGTTTATTTTGCTTATACCCCTCCTCAAGAAAAACACATGATGAACTCATCACTGATACATGTAGTAGATATTGGATGGATGGATGGATAAACAGATATATAGACAAACAGATAGACACACAGACAGATAAACAGAGCATGTCAGTATATGTCTATCTACGTAAAATTGCACTCTGTGACTTTTAAAACCATCTCTTTGGTTCTAAAATGAGCCCTGCTTGTGTCCTGGCCCAGGTGTGCTGAGCAGCTAGTTCACAATAACCTCCCGACCACCAGTGTCATCATGTGCTTTGTGGATGAAGTGTGGTCCACTCTCCTGAGGTCTGTTCATAGTGTCCTCAATCGCTCTCCTCCACACCTCATCAAGGAGATTCTACTGGTAGATGACTTCAGCACCAAAGGTAAGAAAAGCACTCCTGGAAAATTAACGTTTGATATGAGGCGATAGCAATTTGGGTGGATGGCAAAAATATCAAATCATTGTTTCATGTGGTGCCTTAGAGGCATCAAGCCAAGCATCTACGGAATATAGAAAGTGAGTTCTATCTTCAGTTAGCTGTCTCAGACTTCCCTTCAGCTGTGCCTTCTCTGCCATGTAGAAATGATTTTCTAACTATAGCTCCTTGGAGCACTTTGAAGTTCCAGAGACCAGAAGATGTTCAACCGTTTTATGAAATCTAATAAGCAAGTACCCTACAATTAATAGGATGCCTTTCCCACTGGTAATAAGAAGTCAGAGTTAGACTCTATGGAAAACAAAGAAATGGAAGGCCGATGGTTTCTTCCTCAAGGGCAAAGCACATTATGTGTTAAGTGTCGAGAAGACAAATTGCCAATAGAACCAAAGAGATGAGGCTTTAACAGAGTGCAAAGGCAGAACCCACCACGGTCTGGAAGAAGTGGAGAATCTCCCTTTTGGGGTGATCACATAATTTGTGTATTAAGTGCTCCATTTCCACTCGAGGTCCCACTGCCACCACACTACAAATTCTCACAATGCAACCCACTTCAGAAAATTTTAGAAAATAGCAAAGAGAGGATAGCCCTAATAGAACAACTTAGCTCTTTTCATGACCACAACAGCATGAGCCAGTTTCCTCAGCCTCAGAACTCCTGCCACAATCACCCTGAGGTCTGTTAGCAGTGAGATGCCTAAGAAAAACTGGTTGAAAACTTTGAGAAGGGGCCTTGAAAGCATAAACGGAAATAGTATCCAGTCACCAAGCAAATAACAGTCTTTTTATGAATGGCAGATCCAGGGACCTGAAGAACCCTTTGGAGAGAGCTGGAGCTTATATGGTTTTCAGTGTCCTCTTTAAGAAAAAAAAAAACCACAAAATCAGTAGGAAAGTGAGCAGCAGAAGTACTTCTGGAAGCCTTTCCTACCTGGGATACCTGTCAATAGCTTAATTACACATCGAAGTGACTGTAAGTCATGTAAATATACCCCATAAAACCCCAACAACATTCCTGTGGATGGATACCTCTTTGGCCACCCAACAAGACAAAAGAGGTATGACTCAGAGGGTGTCAAAGTAGGGAAGTGACAGTGCCCTTGACCAATTGCAATTGCAGTATCTTTCTTTCACAAACTTTCCAATTTGCATATAATGTTTAGCCTCTTGTCTGGGTCTTGGCAGGGGCCTTTGTAAGTTTGTACAGAAACTGGAGTTTCATTTATTTCAGGGCAAATTTGCCCGTCCTGACAAATACTCAGAAAAGGTGAGCCCTCCTCTATGTCACTTGACAACACTGGAAAGAAGGATTTGGAATTTGAGAAAAAGATAGCTTGGAGTATTGGATGCAGACAAAAAGCCATCCAAGAAAATAACATCAGAAAATAAAATCGTGGTCCAAGGAATAAAATTTAGTGACTACAGTAACTATCATAGTTTCTGGAATTTGATACTGAGAAGCCACTGCTAGCATTGTCCAGATCTAGTTACTTAACGTGTTTCCTTGTCTATTCTTACTGTGATCCAGACTACCTAAAAGGTAATTTGGATAAATACATGTCTCAGTTTCCAAAAGTTCGGATTCTTCGCCTCAAAGAGAGACACGGCTTAATAAGAGCCAGGCTGGCAGGAGCACAGAAGGCAACAGGTAAGAAGCTGCTGATTTTTTGTTTTTGTTATATTTTTGTTTTAGTTGATTTGCTTTCAAATAGATAGCAAATTTGAAGTAATACCGCAGTGAACACCCACATAGCCATCATCATGCCACCAGTTTTTAACTCTCTGCACCATGTGCTTCATCACACACAGACACAGACACGTGTTTATATATATATATATACCCACTTTTGTCCTCAACTTTTGAATTTGCAGATATCATGACGCTACAACTCTGTGTACCTTAGTAGGCCTCTCCGCAAAATACAGACGTTCCCTTAGATAAGCGCACTTTCCTATCTAAATATCATCTGGTTTATGCTCTTTCAGACGTCCTCATTTGCTCCTCAAATGTTTTTTATAGCTACTTCTCTCTTTGGAAATTTGAGATCTTATTAAGTTCCATGCACTGCATTTAGTTGTTTAGTCTCCTTAGGTCCTCAGTCTAGAGAAGACAACATACTACTGACTGTTGACTTGTTTGGTTTTTTTTAGAGTCCAGGCCATTTGTTTTGTACATGTGACCACATTCTGAAGTTTTATCATTGCTTCCTCATGTTACACTCAGGATGAATGTTATGGAAGTGAATAGTGTATAGTATTGTACTACATAGGTGGTAGGAATTACATATTGTTTATGGGCTTCAACTCAAGAGACACATGATGTCAAGTTGCCCCCCCATGGGAGATAGTAATTTTGAGCATTTGGTTAAAATGTCGACAGCCAGGTTTTTCTTTTGGGAGTAAGAAGTAATTTGTGATGTGATACTCGGATTCATATGAATACTGTTTTCCTTACATTTTACTCAATGGTTTTGCACCCGTTGGTGATCATTGCTTAAATCAGTTATTACACTGGGGGCTGCCCATCTCTCTGTCCTTCCCTCCTCCTTCTTTTTCTTCCTCCCCTCCTCTCTGTCCCTCCTTCCTCTTCCCCTCTTATGCTCCCATCAATACTAATTTATGCTTTAAAAATTCAATGCGTATATTATTAAATTTCTTCCTTCCTTCCTTCTGTCCTTCCTTCCTTCATCCCTCCCTCCATTTGGAATTTGATACTGAGAAGCCACTGCCAGTATTATCCAGATTGTAAGTTTGTACAGAAACTGGAGTTTCATTTATTTCAGGGCAAATTTGCCCTGAAATTGATTGATTGATTGATTGATTGGTTTGTTTTGTTTGTTTATTGTACTCAGTTTGTCCCAAATTTGACCACCTGGAGCCCCTCCAAGCCTATGTATTTTTGACCTGATCCCATCAGTATTTGAGGACTGAGAACTGTTTCCTTCTCTCTTCCCTGACCTATGGGGTATGTCTGCTCTTCTGATAGCTCTCTCTGTCTTCCCAAAGAGCAATACGCCTTCTTTTCTTCACTTTTCTTTAGTGTGTGGGTTGGTGAGTAAATGGGAGGAGTCAAATCTTTTCTGCCCATGAGTATTCTAAAAATGACATCAAACATATTGATTTATTTTTGTATCCTTCTGTGGAACTACCCATACCCCATAATAATTGCTGAACTTATATACCAGGTTCCATTCTAAATACTTTCTACAGTAATTGATTTAATCCTCACCAGAACTCTAGGAGCTAGGTACAATAATTTTCCTCATTTTACAGATGAAGATAGGGAGGCACAGTGAGGTTATGGCTTGCCCAAGTTCTCCCCGCTAGCAAGTGCTACAGCAGGATTGGAAGCCAGAAACCTTGACTCCAAATCTGCACTTATCTGCTACATTTTGCTGTCTCTCGATATCTAGCCACCACTCTCCCCTGTAGACCATAGCATTGCATATCTCCACCAGCTTGAACTTAAGCATGTTCTTTTTTTTTTTTTAAGATTTTATTTATTTATTTGAGAGAGAGAGCAAGAGCTGGGGGAGAGGCAGATGGAGAGAGAGAAGCAGGCTCCCCACTGAGCAGGAAGCCCCATGTGGGGCTCCATCCCAGGACCCTGGGATCATGACCTAAGCCAAAGGCAGACACTTAAAAGATTGGGCCACCCAGGAGCCCCATATTTAAGCATGTTCTAATGGTAAATTATCTCCTCACCTAAGTTACACTTCCTTGTAACTAAACCCCAAATTTTGACCTTTTCTTATCTCATTGGTTTCCTAATTTCTTTGGCCTGTAATGGAAATTTAAAATTAACTACAAACACATCACACCAAAATTGACATTGCAGTGATAACAAAGATTCTTAATGATAGACTGCATTTGGAACATTAAGTAAAAATCCATGTTTGATTTCTTTTGGGAAGTAATGGCACACAAATTGTACGAAAATAGGATAGTGAGGAAATAGGCCAAGTAGGCAAGTTTGGGGCTAAGATCTGGATGAAGCACATTCCCAGACAAGCGGAACAAGAAGTGCAATGTCCTGGGGTGCCTGGGTGGCTCAGTTGTTAAGCGTCTGCCTTCGGCTCAGGTCCTGATCCCAGGGTCCCACATCGGGCTCCCTGCTCAGCGGGAAGCCTGCTTCTCCCTCCCCCACTCCCCCTGCTTGTGTTCCCTCTCTCGCTGTGTCTCTCTCTGTCAAATAAATAAATAAATAAATAAATAAATATCTTTAAAAAAAAATAAAGGAGTGCAAGGTCCTGATGCAGAAATATGTTCTGTGTATTAAAGTTAAAGAAAGTTTATTATGGCTGGTGGGTACTGACCATGGAGAGAGTGATAGGAGATTCATCTTGGGGGCAAGGAAAAGGTGGGCTTTTGTAAAGTTTTATGAGTCATTCAAGGAGTGTAGGCATTATTCTTGGTATCATATGAAACCAATGGAGTACATTAAAGAGGAGGATAAAATTGTTTGACTTAATTTAAAGCTCAATTTGGCTGCCTTGTAGAGACTGGGTATTAGGGAGATGAGAGAGGAAGGAGGGAGACCAATTAGATGGTTATCATCGCGGCGCCCAGGTGGCTCAGTCTGTTGAAAGTCCAACTCCTAGTTTCGGCTCAGGCTGTGATCTCATGAGTCCTGGTATTGAGCCCCGTGGCTGGCTCTGCACTCAGCGGGGAGCCTGCTTGAAGATTCTCTCTCCCTCTGCACTCCCCCCCACTTGCTCTCTCTTGCTCTCTCAAATAAATAAATAAATCTTAAAAAAAAAAAAAAAAAAAAAAAGGAGGCTATTATAGTTGTCCAAACACCAGGGAGATACTAGGGCAGATGAAGGAAGGAATCAGAGTAAGAATATATTGTGGACATGGAGCCCATGGGCTTGTCATCAGATAAGATATGAAGAGAGTAATAATGAAAGGAGCAAAAAACAAAACAAAACAAAACAAAAAAACCCCCTAGAACTGGCATCTGAGCAACTTGGTGGGCGGTGGGGCCATAACCAGAGGAACAGATTTGGGATTGCTGTTGAGTTCCGATTTTGTCCATGTAAATTTGAGATGAAAATGAGACATCCATGTAGAGAAAGCTGACAAGTGCAGAACCAAAAATGTACTGCTTATAAAAACCTTCTCTCTGCCTGCATGGGACACAAAGCGTGCTGGCGATCATCTCCAGAACAGTCTAAACTGTTAGACAACACGGAAGGCCTCTTCAGATGGGCTGCAGTGAACTCGCTCAAGGAAGTTGCCTAATCGGCCTGCTCAAGTACTTGTGGTTATACAGCCAGCAAATAACTTCTCTGAATCTAGAGAATCCAAATGTAACAATGTAAACTTGGCTCTCAGTCAGTCATTAAAGCCCGTGAGTGCATTAGCTCAGTTTCCGTTTGGTAACTCTCAAACTATTTGTACCACGACCCATGCTAAGAAATAAATCTTACACCACAACCCAGTGCATATATATGTTACACATGTAGCCACAGTAGACATTTCATGAAATAACATGTGCAGCAGATTCTAATATCTTCTATTTTATTTGTTTTTTAGATTCTGACCAAGCCCACTATATTGTTGTAAAGACTTGCTAAGGGGTCATAACTTTAGTTTGGAGAGGCCAGCTAGGTGCATCTGAATTGCTTGCCACTGTCTAGTGAAGAGCTGCTTCTCAAACTATCATAGAAGAACTTTTTTTTTTCTAATTTCCAAATTTTGTGGACCTGCCCCTTTGTAAATTATAATAAAGATAAACTACCTAAGAAAGAGATGGAAAAAAAGAAAGATATGTACACAATTATATATGCATTCCTCTATACTATATGTATATAGATATATACATAAATTTATTATGTATAATATATACATGTGTATGTGTGTACATATAACATACATAAGATACAGATAACATAAATAATGACTTATGTGTTATATACATACACCTATACAAAGCAGAGAATAAATTAACAAATTCCAGCAAACTGCTAGAGTTTTAAATCATCCATTCTCAATTTCCGTTCCTATCTCTGATGGCAGGGTCTATGGCCCACACTTTGAGCAGCATTAGCAGAAGGCCAGTGCCTGAATGTAGAAGAAGCTGAAAAGTGTGTTCTGATGGAATTAGTAACAGCCTTGTCCAAGAATACATCCAAGGGCCCTGAAGTTCACCTGACTCCTGCAGGAAATTCAAGGGGATTCAGAAGCCCATAGCAACTTTAGCTGAGGAAATAATTCAGGGACTGTTCAGGGACTGGCCCTAAGTGGGGCTGGCCAGCCTGTTAGTTCTCCCAGACTTCCCTTGGGCATTCCCCAGCCATCCCAAGTAAAGCACAGGCAGGACACATTCTGGGCCTGAAAAGTCTCTGTAATCAGAGATCAGCAAAGATACCAGGGCAGAAATTTTCTCTAGACTGCCTCAGCCAAACAAAGAAATGAATGACAAGAATCTGAATTCAGAATCTGACAGGCCTTGACAGCTATTGTTTCCTAAAGATTTACCGTTCAGAATTCAGAGAAAAGGGAGGGGAAGCCACAGGCAAGGATGAGATCAAAGATCCAACGACCTTCAGAAACTGGTCAGGTTTGGTCCCAGGGTATTATTTTGATCCCAGAGTATTATTAGACTCTCTGAAAGTACATAATACAAAATAATAAGGGCAAAACAGTGACTCTCTGACCACTAACAATGTTCACTACATGTTCAGTTTCTGGTGCATGATAGGTTCTTCATCTGGATATGATTCAGGCAAAAAGATCGGGTCCAATAAGTTATTTCCTGAGAATGAGGAGATAGAGAGTTCAAGTAGGGTTTAAAAATCTGAAGGGCAGGCCACGGTCAATGGATCTCTAGGGAAAGTGTCCTATAGGAAGCCAACGCAAGTAAAAAAAGATGTAGTAATTGAGGTAGAAAGTGAACAAGCCGACCACTCGGATCTCGTGCGAGTATTGAACAAAAGAGCAAGTTATTGCCCTGCCAAGAAGAGTCTGCAGATGGGCAGGTTTCAATAGTACACTCTAGAGAGTAGAGTAGAGATCAGATTCTCATTTCCTTTATAACAAGGGCATTTGGCAAAATACATGACATTGCTGTGAACATTCCAAAGAATCAGTTGGCTAACTTTAAGTATGTGGACTAAAATGACATCTGACTCCTGGACAACTTTAAGGTCTCCTGAAAAGCGATAGTCCTTCTGTAAATTTCTACAACTTGTTTCTGCTGCAGGTAAAACAGGTGGTTTCCTTAGCATCACTTATAAATTATTATGTAAAATTAAATGGCCAGCCAGGTCCACATCCCTCAAGGAACCCTAAAGACAACACTCCAACACTAATTGGTGCTGGCAACAATATTCCAAGCTGGTTGGCTAAATAGAAATGGGGGTCTGTACTCAACAAGGAGCCAAAGCTTTCTGGCACATCGAGCATCTCTGGGTTGGTCAAAAAGTAAATAAATAAATAAGTTACAATCAAACCCATCTGCAAACAATCCAGCATCGCTGGGACCTACTCTTAGGAAACAGAAAAGCCTGCCAGGTGGTCATCAAGATAAGATTATTTTGAACTCTAGCTTAAACACTCATTGAAAAAACAGTAATAACACTAGCTATTTATTTTTATTTTTATTTTTTTAAGATTTTTTATTTATTTATCTGAGAGAGAGAATGGGAGACAGAGAGCATGAGAGGGGGAGGATCCGAGGGAGAAGCAGACTCCCCGCCGAGCAGGGAGTCCGATGTAGGACTCGATCCCGGGACTCCAGGACCATGACCCGAGGCGAAGGCAGTTGCCCAACCAACTGAGCCACCCAGGTGCCAACACTAGCTATTTATAAGGAATTTAGGTATTAGGTAGATCTTAGAACTATCCCCAGAAAGTAGATCTCAGAGAGGTTAAATAATTTATCCATTGTAGCTAAGGAAAACAGACCTATGTGGCTTCGATACTATGTTCATTTCACCATGACGCTCAGGGTTAGGAAGGGTGTGTGTGAAACGTCCACAGACCATACCCTCTACAAGTAGAAGTCCTAACCAGAGTCAGCTACATAGATAGCTCCCTGGTCTAGTTCCGGAGATCTTATTTTAAATTAAAGTGTCTGAAAGTGGAGCAATGACATTCATGCATGGGAGGATTCTCTTCTCACCCAAAATAAAACAGTATAAAATTCCAGTCTGTGTTTTGGGCGGAAGCTGCTTCCTTTGGGTCCTGGCAACAAGTGAATGAAAATCTGTATGGGAATCTGGGCCAGGTGGGAAGTGAATGCAGGTTTGGGTACCCATCCTGCTGCCACCAGGGATTGAGAAAGTCGATCCAGGCCCCTTTGACTGTACCAGCTTACTCTGGGGATAGGGACAGGCAGTCTGGGAGAGACTCCTCTTTGGTTCGAACGGACCAGCAGTAGAAGTAGTGAGAAAAAGGAGGTTATCTTTTGCACATGCTATTCACTAGCCAAGTAGGAACTTAGCAGGCCATGCTTACACACCCTACGCACCTAGATAACCCCCGTGAACCTTCCCACACAGGGAGCGGGCTGTGCAAAATGACACCCTTAGTTGATAATGACCTTTCATTATGAAATAAGCCATAATCTCTGAAAATAGGACTCCACCAGCATGATCAGGAGTTGTAACCACTGTCTCCAAGAGTTGGGGATAATGGGGGAAGGGGCTTCAGTCTAGTGCAGCCTGGTCCTGCCTAGAGACTTCTCAAGAGCATTCCTCACAAGACCTTGGCTAGGGTCAGTTTCTTTACCCTCATGCAAAAATTCCATTGTTGATCGGTTAATACGATACTGAACCATTAATTAAGAGGTATAGCTTTTAGTGGATAATGAACTATCATCTAGGTATCTAATTTCACCTTGTTCTTTGCCTGCTGCCGTCTTCCGCTTTTACTTTAAGCCTTCCCATTCTCATAGCTCTGCCTCTTTCTGACCATTTTTTCTTTCTTTTTTTAAGAACACAGGCAATGGAATAAACTATGTATTTTCAAATATCAGGCTGCCACTTAGCTGTGCTAACTTGAAAAAAATTGTTTCAGTTGTTTCTCTTAAATGGGAATAAAACTTAGATCTGCGTCTCATTTCTTAAATGGAAAGAAAAATGAGATTTATACTTCAGGTTTGTTGTGTGGCTTAAACAAGACACTCGTGTAGAATGCCTAGGACAGTGTCTGGCACCGAGTAAGCACTTAATAGAAGGTAAATGATGTTATTATAAGTTTGTCAAGAGCAGAGGGGAGCAACCAGGTGTCAGAGTGGTCGATGCAAGCAATAAGCCAAAAGGAAAGCAACCCTCAAGTCTTTAATCATTTCCTCCACTGATATAAGTAAGAAGTATAAGTAAGAATTGAAACAGAAGAAAGTGCTGACTCCCTGAATGTCCCATGTTTCCCTGTAGAGAAACGGGCTGGTGGATTGGGCAGATGTGAGGATCATCTCACTGCCCCCGGAGCCCAGAACAAACGGCTCCTCCTGTTTTACAGCCTGGGGCGGAGGGTGAGAAAAAGGAGAAGGCTCCGAGTAGGAAAGTGCTGAATGCTGAGTCAGATGGAGGAAAAGGTCTTGGCGACCTCCCCACCTCCCATGCGGTGAGACAGAGATCTTGGCCTGAAGGAGGCCTCCGATGGAGGAAACTGAGCTAGGAATGAAGCTGTGCTGAGAGCATGTCCACTGAGGGAGGGGGAGGGCCTGTGCTCTTGACTGCAAGTCCCTTCAGAGGCTGTGGTACACTGGCTGCAGACCACGTCTGGTGTGAGAGGGCAGCCTCCAGCCATGAGGACCCGCCAGGGAAAGCCTTTGTAATGTGCCTATGGTTGGGCCTGAAAGGACACATGTAGGATTTTGGCCATAGCCCAAATTCCTCGGGTTATTTGTTAATCTTCACACACACACACACACACACACACTCCACTTGTATAAAATCATTTGGAATAATGTAGATGCTACGGAGATTTTTATTGGGAAGAGAGTGTTACTTCACACAACTAATAGGAAGAAAAGAATTTTAAGTGATTATTTTTTGGCCTCCAAGTTGGTTTTTTTTTTCTTTTTTCTTTTTTTTTTCTCCTGCAAGTCTTTGATTTTTGTATTGTGGCAAAATATGCGTAACATAAAATTTACCATCTTAATTATTTCTTCAGTGCACAGTCCAGTACTCTGAAGTATATTCACACAGTTGTGCAACCAATCTCCAGAAAGCTTTTCATCTTGCAAAACTAAAACTCTATACCCATTAAACTATTCCCTATTCTCCCTCCCCATCCCTGTAACCCTTTTTACACTACCTTCTAGACTTGCTGATTCTTCCTTTTTTATTTGTTTTCAGCCTTGTTATGCAGAATGATTTCTCCTCTTCATCATTCCTAAGGCCCACCTTGGAATATCAAACTCTGCCTGGTCCACACACCCCCACCCCAGGTTAATGCGACCCACCCTCCTTAGAAGAGACAAAGCTTTTACTCTAAGGATTCCCTTCAAAGCCTTGGCTATCCATTCTAAGTGGCTTATCAATTTTTCACAAACAAAAATGATGCTTGTCCCATAGGACTTCTAGAAACGAAATTTATTTTATTTCATTATAGAATGAAATTATAGGGACCAGGAATTCAGTGAGAAGACTACTGCCCTTATAATCACCTTTCTGGAGCAATCCCCAAAACCTTTGAACATGAAGTACATACATTCAGTATATCACATTTTCAAATGATTTTTTTTTTCTCTGGCTCTCTAGGTGATGTGTTGACATTCTTGGATTCTCACGTGGAATGTAACACTGGTTGGTTGGAACCTCTTCTGGAAAGGGTTTATTTAAGTAGAAAGAAAGTAGCCTGTCCAGTAATTGAGGTCATCAATGATAAGGATATGAGGTAATACTGTCATATTCCACAAGATACTTCTAAGCGAGTTTTTAACTAACAGCAGCAGAAAGTACTGGTTATATTCCTAAAATGCACATTTTTGCAAATCTAAGAAATACACAGTGCATCCATTTAAATAAATGGAAACACATAATAGATATCTTGGGATCAGAGAAGGTCAATCCAGTAATTTATTTGATCATCAAAATGCTTAACTCTTAATAGCAATAAATCCTAATACTCATTGTCCTGTTCTTTCCTCTTTCTATTCAGCTGTACCTGAACCCAGAAAATATTTATCTCCCTTAAGATTAGTTCATCTTTTAGTGGGAAATAATACATATACTCCTAAATTGTTTTTTTCCCCTCAAAAGTAGTCAGAACATTATTAAAAGTAAAGTATAAGTTAAAAACTAGCAATCAAGCCAGTTAGTCACTAATGTACTCATAAATTTGCTTGAAATGTTATTAAAAAGTTTGTAATAATCTAAAATCATTTGTGTAAGAACTTGTTTCATTCATTTGAACAAGACATGGTGTCAGGTTGCTTAAGTATATGTGTATGATCTCAGGTAGCACTTTTGTTTCTTTCCTGGATTAGTTACATGACAGTGGACAACTTTCAAAGAGGCATCTTTGTGTGGCCCATGAACTTTGGTTGGAGAACAATTCCTCCAGACGTTGTTGCAAAAAACAGAATTAAAGAAACAGATATAATAAGGTAAGTGTGTGAAATTTAAGATTAGAAAGCAATCGTGAATCTTTTTATAAAGGCATAGGAAGCAATTCCACAAAACAAGTATTTCCTGTCATCCTGTAGACCATCAAGAATTACAGCTTTAGCCAATAGATGATCAAAAGCAAAGTTTTCCTAAGATATTACTTTTCCACTACCAAACCTCATTTTTTAAATGGCTAAGTGCACCTTATTCAGCCCTGAACCCAGAGAAATTCACTAATACTATTCCTGTTCCCTGAGATAGACAACTTAAGAAATATAAACTAATTGAATATGCTGCATAAACGCTGTATGAACACATACAATGTTAAAGCCAACATGAGTAAAAATTAGAAGAGTAAATAATAGTGGTAAAAGTATTATTGTAATAATAGCTACCATTTGGGTTTTCTTTTCAATTCTAATCCTACCCTTCCCATGGGAGCCAAATTCTGTGAATGAATTGAGAAATAGATACAGAAGGTGGATATGAATTTAAAGAGGGGCTTTATTGCTGGAGAAGCTGGATTTAAGATCACAGCTTAGACCTGAAGCCAAAGTGAACACTTCTCCCAGAGACTAGACCTGCAGGACAAGCATGCAGCCAGCCTCAGGCAGAGCAACAGGGGTCCCCAAAGCCTTCCCAGTTGCAGAGAGAACTTGAGCAGACAAGTGTCAAGAGAAAGCCCCAGCCCAGACTGTGCATTGTAACATTATTTCTTAGAACTTAACCCTCAATACTGTATGCCTCATCCCTTGCTAGGTATGATGCCTTCAGAATTGATATTCCTAGCAAGTCAAATAGAAGTACTATCATTTATTAAGCACTGTGCATTTAAGCCTCTCCCTAACCCTAGGAGAGAGGTGGTAGTATTTTCATTGTGGAGATGAGGAAATTGAGCCTAAATGAGGTAATTTTTCCAGGGATATACATCTAGTAAAAGAACAAATTGGGACTCAGACCCATATCTGCCTGCATTTAACACACTTACTCTGATCCCACATTAAAGAACCTCTTTGCCTTTTTCAGACTCCCATTTTGAGAGTTAATGTAGTGATTGAGTTCAGATTATATTCCACATAACGTTAGGAAGAGAATGCATTCTGGATGGACTAGAAAGGACATTGAGCATTCGGACAGAATATGTACATAAATGATGGGGGAAGGGAAGTAGGTGTGGGGCAAAAATTACCTTATCCTTGACATTGCTTTGTACTCTAAACACAAGACAGGCTTTCCACACAAACCTTTCCACTGGCTCAATGGTAACCACCATGGGAAGGGATTACTGCCTTGTCTAGCTGCTGATTCAAGTGTAGTTTCTATCCCCCATAATCTATAACAGTCGCGAATGCTCTGGAGTCTGACTCTTTGGATATAAATCTCAATTCTATTACTTCCTAATGGTGTGAGCTTTAAAAAGTCACTTAACCTCTCTGAATCTCTGTGTTCTCGTTTTTTTGTTTGTTTGTTTGTTTTGCATTAAGACTAATAGAAGGAGCTACCTCTATTATCTAAGAATTAAATCTGATTATATAACATGCTTTAAAAAGTGTTTGCCACATAATAAGCTGTCAATAAAAATCTGTCTACAGTTGAGGCAGTAGAGTGGAGTGAGAGATCATAGAGTCAAACTAGACCACCTAAACTGAACCCCCGAAGTACATCATACTAATCTGTGACCTTGGGAAAGTTCCTAACTGTTTCTGTGCTGTGGTTTCTTAATGGTACATACTTGCAGGATTTGCATAAAGTCTGAGATAATTACATACATAACACTTACAACAGTGCCTAGTACTCCCTTAGTACTATTAAAAAGGCATTGTTAAAAATAACCTATCTGAGGTATAGGTCTGTGATTCAACAGTCTTACACAATTCACAGTGCTCACCATAGCACATAGCCCAGACCTGTACCTCTGAAACAAATAATACATTATATGTTAACAAAAAAAAAAAAGAAGAAGAAGAAGATAGCAGGCGGGGAAGAATAAAGGGGGGGAAAATCGGAGGGGGAGACAAACCATAAGCCCGGTGATGGGTATTAAAGAGGGCATGTTCTGTGTGGGGAAAAAAAAAAATAACCTATCTGGAGAGTTTGTGTCAGAGAGTAAAGGGCAAATAAGAATCCTACTTCCAGGCCCCATCTTTGCTGACCCTAATCAAGCTTTGCCACCATGAACTAGGGAACTGATGACTTTGGTGCTATTTGTGAATCCATTCCAAGACCTCCCCATGCTTGGTAGCTATTTTAAAATATCTCTTAACTCCATCACAACTGCACAGGGGACCCACTCGAAACGTTGAATTCCCGTGACAAGCAAGCTTAAAAAATCAAACATTTCTTTTTGTAGGTGCCCCGTCATGGCAGGTGGATTGTTTTCTATTGATAAAAATTACTTTTTTGAACTTGGAACCTATGACCCTGGGCTTGATGTCTGGGGTGGAGAAAATATGGAGCTCTCATTCAAGGTATTACCAAGTGGTCCTCAAATCCTCTCTACAATTAAGACTTTATCATTTGGTTTCATTTTACTAATGTATAATCAGATATGGGACTGCCTCGGGGAGGAAATTCCACAGAAATTTAAGGGCCTCTAGATTAATGTTTTTGTATCCCAGATTAAATTTGGAAGAATCAATAGCTCTCACGAAATTTATTAGAATTCCCTAGTATTTTATAATCCTGTTTCTACATGTGACTTGGGAGAAATAATGCCTGCCATTCTGTATAAATGCTGTGGGATTCATGCTTCCCACAAAATATCTCTGGGAACGTTTTTCTAGTATATCGGAAGTAATGAAATCACTCAGTAATGGCTCACGTTAGATGCCACAAGGGACAGAAGTACAAAAAGTGCCTCTAGGGCAGGCCATCGACAGGCAATGGTGCAACAACTTTGGACATCTCAGACAGTTCGGGTGTTTATAGTCATTGATCAACAGCTAAGAGAGCCTTGGCAGCAGCCAGAGTAAAGAGAATCCAAAAGGCAACTGCTTTCCTGAGGAGTGGGGTGGTATATAGTAAAAGGGGTATTACTTCGAGCTCATTTTCAAGTTGTGCTCCATAAGCCATATGGGTCATCCCAAGATGAGAAGGGCAAGTTGAAAACATGGAAATATACACTCCTTTCCCTGATCCAACCAAAACAGGAATCCATATTCCATATTTTATACTTTGGGATTCAGTGAGAATTTCTTTATAAAATAAGAAGATGTACACCGATGGGTAGGGAATAAAAATATATATATTTTATGAATCCTAAAATGGTCCACAGCAATGTACAAAACTAAATAAACCTGTTGAGTTTAATTTGAAACTATTGAAAAAAAACTACTTCAGACTGGGGGGGGAGAGAGTGGTCACCAGGTCGTTCCTTGTCATTATTAACTGCCCATGATTTGCAGACATCATTTGATAATTGATGTTTATTATCATCCAGGTGTGGATGTGTGGTGGTGAAATTGAGATCATTCCCTGTTCCCGAGTGGGCCACATATTCAGAAATGACAATCCATACTCCTTCCCCAAAGACCGGATGAAGACAGTAGAGCGGAACTTGGTGCGGGTTGCTGAGGTCTGGCTTGATGAGTACAAGGACCTATTCTATGGCCATGGGGACCACCTCATAGACCAAGGGTTAGATGTTGGAAACCTCACCGAACAACAGGAACTTCGAAAGAAACTAAAATGCAAAAGTTTCAAATGGTACTTGGAGAATGTTTTTCCTGATCTGAAGGCTCCCATTGTGAGGGCTAATGGTGTGGTAAGTTCAAGCAGCAATTACATTCTGACTCCATAAAAATAAAGTTTAAAAACTCTTGAAAATGTGTGGAAAAGAATGAAGAATTACATTAGAAGTAAATACTAAGTATGAGTGCAGATGAGACAGAGCACGGTTAAGGGATAAATATAGGTGAACTTGAGGGAGGCTTTTAAGCAGCCATGTTCATTGATTACTTCAGCCAATACCTACTGGGTATCAATAAACCAGATAGCATTTCAGAACTGGAATATAGGGTGATGTGTAAAGCAGACTTGATTCCTGTTTGTGGAGCTTGAAGTTGAGTAGGGAAAACAATGTACAAGTATGTAACATTTAAATAAAAAACAGAATGGCTCTCATTTAAGGAACTGGTCACAAGTGATGACTCCTTCTAAGCTACAGTATTCAACTCTGAAGAGATGTTGAAGCCTAGGCCTGGAAAACAAGTGTCAGCGAAGCTCTAAAGGATCGAGTCTTAGGCAGAGGACGCCCTTGGTGCAAAAACTCTAAGATAGATGACTGTCCAGGCATTCGAGAACTGCCAAGAAGATGAATGTTGTCAAGGTGTGAAGGAGAGAAGAATGGCACCAAATGAAGGGGAGGAGGGAGGAAGAGTCAGGTTACATAGGTCCTTGTAGGCAAAGTAAGGATCCTTTCTTCCTTTCTTCTTTCCTTCCTTCTCTTCCTTCCTTCCTTTTTCTTTCTTTCTTTCTTTCTCTCTTTCTCTCTTTCTCTCTTTCTCTCTTTCTCTCTTTCTCTTTCTTTCTTTCTTTCTTTCTTTCTTTCTTTCTTTCTTTCTTTCTTTCTTTCTTTCTTTCTTTCTTTCTTTCTTTCTTGCCCCCTCCAATATAAAAGGAGGTTATTGAGTAAGGTTAAGCAATGGGACGACATGATTTAATTAGATTTTTACAGATTTCAAACACAGGTTGAAAATAAAAGAAATCATCAAATGATGACAGAAAATTCCAGGGCACAATGTAATGTACCAAAAGGGAAGAAACCAAGCTAAACAGGTTGGATGGAGTACAAAGCTAAGAACTAAAGCAAGAAAGCAGAGAACCTGGACGAAAGCCATTTCAAACCCATTCTGGGGGTGGGGCTTAATTTGAAGAGGATGGCAAGACATGAGGATATTTACCATAGAATAGGTTTAGAAGTGATTAGTCAAGCCTTGACCTAGAGCTCTTCCCCAGTCATGCATATTTTTAATCTGTTTTATTGTTTTTTCATTTATTTTTTATTTATAAATATTCCTGGCATTATTTCATTTTCTTTAAGAATTTTCTTTTTCTTCATGAAAGAGGTTCTCAGAGTTGACCATCAGTAAGCCTGTTGTTCTAGGCCATGTTTGTTCAGTTCTCCCTAGGAAGTGAATTGCACAAACCAATCACTCTCCTGGGAAATTTCCTGATGACAGGACTTAGTAGAGCCATTCTCCCCAACCGTATAGGGGAGATTCTGGAAGAGTATGAAAGAAAGGAAACGTAAAAATTCAACTGACAGACTAGTATATGTCACCTGTTTGTATGTAACATAATATAGTATAAAATTGTCGTTTTTATAGGTCAAAAAAAAAAAAAATAGGAGCTATTTCTGGTAGTTCTCAACCTGGTGTTTTTTTTCTAGGTAACTCGTTAGGAAGAATACCCCAGATTTATACACTGTTCAAATAATGTGTCTGTAAAATAAACTTATATATATATATTTTTTTTTAATTTTAACTCCTGATTAAGAAAAAAAAGAAATTCTCAGCATAGTAATTTTTTTTCCTAACACAGGATCTCAGCAAGAGCATTACTGAACTTTAACCACCAGAGGGAACTAAAAAACTACCTTTTGCTTCCCCTGTGAGGTTAACTTGTATATGCGTTCCCATGAAATTTCTGAAGAGCTCTCCTGTAACAGCCTTCTGCTGATGCCTGAGCTATAATATATTAAAATGCAGAAAATATTTTTAAATGATCTTTTAAATTCTATTTGTTGCTTTCCTTAGACAAATTATAATCAAGGTATCATTTGCTCCCTTCTTAAATAACCAGTAGGGAGCATTATTACCAGTTTTAAAAAAAGATCTTTTTCCAGACATTTCAGACTAAGATTAACGCGACCATTATTTCGGACACACAGTTTTGAAAAGTCCCAAGAAAATAAACTCTACAACTTTTTGTTATTTGCTCCACATTTTCCCTTCTTTCAATCCTATTAGGATTTAATTTAAATCCAACGCAAGATTTTTTTGTTTCCTTTTCTTTTTTTATGAGAACATATCATATCTTTTTGAACCAAAAATATTTAATGAACGAAAGAACCTCACTAATAATGTGTCTTTATATTGGATTAGATGCTTAGCGAATAGCCTGTAGCCCAATGTTTAGTAATTCTGTGATGAACATGGGGAACTCCACCTCCTAAATTGGAAAGTGACATAATTCAAAATGGGTAATTTAAAATGTATAGACTGCCTGATTTTTTAAAAAAGATTGAAATGGTTTACAATAAAAGCATAAATACAATTCCTTGAAAATAAAATGAGGATTCCATTTTTAAAACCATTCATAATGAGATAAAGAAAAACAACTCCTTAGGACTTCATAAATCATTTCTATGTGAAGAAAAGCAGTTTCTCCAGAAATTTCTGATAGGGAGGAAGGAAAACAAATCTTCAGAGAAAGCGGGGGAGCGGAAAGCAAGGGAAAGAAAAATTTTCTCCTTCCATCTAATGCTTTTCCATGCTTGGCAGAAGGGACTGTACAAAATAAATACAAAAAAAATCGGTTAAACCAGGAGTTCCCTACACTGCTCTGGGCAATGTTAGTTGTGCTGCCAAAAATAGGATCCCAGGGCCAAATGTATTTGGCAGACACTCATGCTTCACTCCCTCTTACAGCAGAGAGCTAAACATTAACGTACTGGAGGTTCTGCGAGGTTCTGGAGCTGTACAACCTCTTTGGCTGCACTGAAGCCAGTTTTCCAAATGCGTGGGAAGACAGAATATTTTCTGAGTAATCCACAAATACAGAAGTTTATACTTATCTCTGTTAAAATCCAGAGAGCAGTTGGAGCACATTTCCTTTCTTTAATCTCCAGGATTATCCTTCTTTCATGCATTTCTATTAAATCGCTTCTCTAAAGTTGATTCCTTCTGTGCGTCCTGACTGCTCCATTTCCTAATGGTGGATTGTCTCCTCCCATATTTGTCACTCTACATTGTGAACAGAGTTTTCTTTGAAGATTTCTGATGGAAATTCTGTCCTTCTAGAGTTGTTTTACATGACAGCCACCCCAGAAGTAACCAACCTGGTACTATTTTTTTTCTAAGATTTTATTTATTTATTTGAGAGAGGGCACGAGTGAGGTGGGAGTGGGGTGAGGGGGGCAGAAGGAGAGGGAGAGGGAGAAGAAGACTCCCTGCTGAGCATGAGCCCTTTGCTGTGGGGCTTGGAATTGAGCAGATGTGGGGCTGGATCCCAGGACCCTGGGATCATGACCTGAGTCAAAGGCAGGCGCTTAACCAACTGAGCCACCCAGGCGCCCTCAACCTGGTACTATTTTTATGTCTGTCAAAATTCCTATCCAATGGAAGTAGTATAAACTTGCATCTCAAACCCAAATGAAGATCCATGTAAGGTTCAGATTCCCAAGGGAGACTCTAGTTTCCCTGTTGTCTCCCTGTGCTATGTATGGGGTAATTGTTTTTCCTGGGACACTGTATTCTTTAGTCATCCATCTTTATGTGGAAGACTGCAGTTCCAACTCTCTCGCTCACTCATATTTTTTCTCCTGTCCTCACAATCTTGGTCCCTTGCCTACCAGTATTTGCAATTTTCCCACTTGCTAAAGGGCTTTGTTTTGTTTCATTTTCTGGTCCCTGAAGATGCCCCTGACTTTCTTGCAAGCTAAGCTATGCATGTAAAAGTGAGCACCCTGTTATGAAGGCTTACAGCTCTGAGCTACACAGCTGTATCTTACAATACCCCAGAGTTAGAGCTCTGTGTTGGGTACCACAGAGCAGGATGGGGCATAAATAGTGACCTTGCCAACAAAGACTTCACCACCTCCCAGCTCAGAAGGCTTTCCTGAGTGTAGACGTGACTCTACACAGCTCTTCTAGAAATCTAAGAAGTCTAAATTGCACTATTAACTCACCAGCTCGTTAGCCTTGCCCAAGGTGTCAAGGGGGGCAAGGGAATCAACATTTTTCTGCATTAAATGGTGACTTATAGAAAGCTGCCTCCATATTTGACCCTGCAAATCCATTAAAAACCTGGGGGCCTGCCAGATAGTGCCTTTAAGTTTGGCTCTGTATTAGCTTTCATGACTTTCCTGTAATGAATTGTAGCTTACCTGAGTCATTAGGAAGATTCTGACAGAGAATCAGCTGGAATCTGCTGTTCTTTGAAGGACTCAATTTATCTATGATTCAGTGCCTAAGCAGTGAAATAGCTTGAAGGGGTCAGCCAGGGAACAGAGCCTGTAACTGTTGGTTTGATTAAATTGCAAGTCTATGCATTGACTTTTAATGTATGCATCAGAAAAACTTGAGACAAGAAAATAACTACTTTTCATGCTACCTTTTGCTCATTTCCTATTCAGCATTCCAGGCAAGGGTTAATTAAAAGCTTCTGTTTGTTGGCTCTGTGGCTGAATCATAGGCCTAAATTGACAGATTGAAGCTGTACTTTAGCAAGATTACATTATGTCTCTGTTAGAGATAGCAACCAATAAAATCGTATAGCGCTAAGTAATGCTAAGCTATCAACTTAACTATCTTTTAACCTTATTATAGTTTTATAGTCTGTGCTTTCTGAATGTCTTGTTCTACTTTAAAATATTTTTTTTCTTAATGCGTATTTTATATTTTGTTCCCTAGCTTATTAATGTGGCCTTGGGCAAATGCATTTCCATTGAAAACACCGTAGCCACTTTGGAAGACTGTGATGCGAGCAACAAGGTACGCCGGGCTGGGTTTCCTCTCTCATCATAGACACGGTTGATAGATTGCACAGGTGTACCTGATAAGTGCAGAGTATTGCACATTTACCACTCACTTGAAAACTTTATTTTTGCTGTACAAACAATAATTAATGTATAAATTTTTACATGATCATAAGGTTGGTGTTAAGACAGCCTGCCGCTAAATGTAAAGTTAGTGACCAAGGGAGTAAAACTATGAGTACTGAAGTCCACCTACCAGGGACCCAGTTCTGGCTCTGTCACTTTCAAGTGTGTTACCTTTGCAAATCCTTTAACCTTTAGGTAAATAGCAGTTATAACAGCACCTACCCCTAAATCAGGTTTGAGGATCAAATTATGTCATACAGATGAAGCATGTAGAACAATATTTAACACTCAGTGCTCTGCAGATGTTCACTGTTATAATAATAAAGACAAAAAAATGTGAAAAAATAAAAAACTACATCTAAAGATAAAATAACAGAGGAAATAAAGGCAGAGCATATTTTTAAATAATCTAAGGGAGACATTTTATTCTGATTCAGTCCCCTCTCCCCCATTCTCCTTCATATTGAAGGAATAATGCAAATTACATAATCCATGATCCATGGTGGAAAACCCTTCAGCAAATCTCTGACAAACTCAGAGCACAATGGTTAGGGGAGGAAGGAGGGCCAGGGAGAACAGAGCAGGGACTCTGCAGAGCTGGAGGTGAGTTCTGAGTGATGGTACCTCCCTCTTCAGTGAATGTTCCCCACCAATTCTCATTCTGTGTATATATTATTGGTTTCAATGACAAATAAAACTCATAAAAACATCAATCCATGAGTAAAACTCAGCGTCCTAAAGTTGTAGATCACTCCTTGGTAAAGAAATTATTTTGTGATGGAGAATCTAGGCTTCCCTCGGCTTAGCTGTTTGCTTTGACTTAGAGATATTGCTTCTATTTCTGAGCACATCTCCTCTCTACCTCTTAATTCAAAGCTGAAAAGACATTTTTTGTCCTCTGTTTTTATAATTCAGCTATGGATTGTAAACTTGAGGTTGAGGGAGCTCTTTCTTAATTAGGAAAGAAAGGAGGCAGAGGGACGAGAAAAGTGTCAAAAATCGTTTGAAAGATACAACTCATATTAACAATTCAAAGAGGAAATAAAGTCATAAATTACAAAATAAAACTACAAGTAGTCCAAATTATATGAAAGTAAAGTATTATTTCATTCAGCCCTTCAAGACTCATTCTTCTCGTGCTTTTCTGTGCCTGATTAACCAGTATTTTATCTGAAGACCCAAGTTGTGGTCTGGATAACCACTGAGTCTCTCAGGGGGGATGCTGGGAGGCGAAAGTATGAATATGCAGCCCCTGCTTTCCACAAACCCCATCTCCCTTGTTGTCTTGTTACTCATTTTAAGCTTGTAGTTTGTTTGAATAATAAAAAGTAAAGGGACTTGGAGGGAGGTAACTTATTTTGGCAGAATTAATGAAGCTTAATACCAAGCCAGTTTATAGCATTCATCCAAAAAAAGCTCAAAAGGAACAAAGCCCGAGGATTGAACCACCAAGCCTTATCCTTCACTTTACCTAAAAAGTCCCCTTAGCTATTAACCTTTCAACCAGCTGAGATGTCCCTTTTAAAGGTAATGTCTAGCTTCTCTTAGTAGCCACATAACTTCCTTATATTATGACATAAGACCACGCTTCTCAAATTTTAATGTGCACACAAATCACCTGGAAAGTTTGTTACAGTACAGATTTCTGATTCAAGAGGTTCATGGTAGGCTGAGATTCAGGCTGTTCCAACTAGCTCCCAGGTGATGCTGATGTTGGTCCAGAGACTACCCTTTGAGTGGTGAGGTCTAACTCAATGACATACTTGATAACTTAAGTTAAATCTCAATTACATTACAAATTATTCACTAGGTAAAAGCATTTAGATAAATTTTACCAGCAGTCTATTTTTTTTTTTTTTATGTTCACGTTGGTGCAAAACAACAAACTTCCCACAGACCCACAGACTTAGAATAAATTGACCAGGCAGGTAGTACCAGGGTGTAAATAACTGGATAAAATACTTATAAAAACTGAAAACATGGTTCCGTTGCCTGATTTAGACATTGGCAACTCCCCCAAACTGGACTTCTCCAAGAGTAGTTCTTATGAACTAGGGGATGCTAGTAAAGCAGAACCTGATGATTCTTTCTGCTATCAGCATAGAAAGATTTTTAACCTTTCTTACAATAGAAACGTTTTTTAGCCTTAAGAAAGATTTTTTTAACCTTTCCTACAACGCCTCTAGGAGTCTGGTAATCTGGATAGTCTTAAACAAAGAAGCATAATAATTTCCACCAAAGTAATTTAGGACTGTGATTTGGATCTCCTTATAGCCCTAATGGCTACGGATGGTTTGAATGTTCCACTACTTCAAGCACCAGGCTTGTCTGGGATTCAGAACACCTGAAATGACCTCTATTTGTAGACATATACTAACTGTACTCAGTAATTTTTATTACTGCAACTCACATTTATTGAGGGCGTGCTGTGTGCTAAACACTTAACAGTCATTACCTCAACTCTCTGAGATATACCCTATTGCTATCCAACTTAAAAATGATAAAAATGAAATTAGATATGGTAATAATATGCCCATGCTGTCAGAATTGAAAGTGGCAATACCAGGATTTGGGTACAAAACATTTGATCAAAGTGCCTATATACTTAACCACTGCTAACGAAAGTGTTTGGCAAAGCCCCTACCTGTGTTTGCTGCCTGAAGTGACCTTCTCCTTGTTCATTTCCCGACAGCTTCAACAATTTAATTACACCTGGCTAAGACTTATTAAACATGGAGAATGGTGCTTAGCTCCCGTCCCTGATACGGGGGCTCTGAGGCTGCACCCTTGTGATAACAGAAACAAAGGGCTAAGATGGCTGCATAAATCAACATCAGTCTTTCATCCAGAACTGGTAAGCAAACTATGTGTACCTCTTCTTTATTGCAAATCCAACTTCCAGCTAAGTGGGACATAAAACTCTCATTGTCCGCATCTTCATTCAGAAGCTTTCAATGTGTTTGTGGCAAAAGAGGCAGTGTTAATAGTTCATACAGAGAGATAAATGGATAGTTTTGCAAATTGTCAAGTCCTTTTTTTTCTTTCACAAAATTTATTTCAAATCTGTTATTTTAAATATAAGCCACCTGTTTCTTTGGTTATATGGCTATCAGCATCTTTATTTCTGTAAGCCATTTGCTTCAGTCAACTAACAATGCCAAAAATCATGCTTATAGGCTAGAACTTGTTCTCACTGGTTACCAGAGAAGCCCTTAGGGAGAGTATATGGGGAAAGCAAGAAGCAGTATGCTTCCTACAAGCTTTGCACTTTAGTATGACTCTACTTTTCAGCATTCTGCCTCCTTTCCATAAAGGGAGACTTTTTCTCACACACACACACCCTCGTTCCCAGAGACCTGGGCCTTAACAGGTGTTGGAGGCAGCTCCCTGCTGCTTGTAGGAGCTGACAGTGTGTCGCGTGCACCTGCTGACATCACATGCAGTGACATCACCCGGGTAGCTTGAAACCAGCCATGATGGGAGGATTTCTGTAAACCCATGCTCCTAATCCCGGGATGTTTTTCTAGAGATCCAGTTGTTAATATTTGTCAGACCACACCTGCTATATCCTATGTACTCTCAAAGTCCTGATAGGTTTTCCCAATTTTATTTTAACAAGATACAAAGTCATAAGTTTTGGTGTAAGATCTTGGAGTGACAAAAATAATTTCAGGCCAACCTTTTTAAATTTTCTATTATCTCACTAGCAAGTAATCACCAGATCCACAAATGCACTGGGTATATGAAGACCATCATTTTGCTCAGGGTTGTCCCCAAAGTAAGCACTCCTCCCGCCCTTGAAATGCCTCCATTTCTTTTGATTTCACAACAAGTGACTAGTCCCTTCATGGCATTTTTCTTCCTACTTGGGGTCAAAATCAGGGCTTGAGCAACATAGTTCCCAATCTTCCTCTCTTTCAATCTTCTCTGTTATATTTCAATTTCTTCTGGGCATTTTTTTTTCTCTTTAGTGATAATGACTATTATTGAGTTATTAAGAAAAATTAGGAATTACTAGTGTACCAGTTACTAATTTTATGTTGCATAGTGTTGGAAAAATCCATAAACATCTATCAAATATTACCTTCTGCTTCCTTGACCTTATGCCAAAGAAAGCTGGAGGTGGGGCCAGGGGTGAGAAAGGATGAGAATGAGAACACATTTTTCATCTCCAGAAATGAATCTGTTACCAGAAAAAAAAATTCACGCTATGAGAAAATATTTAGGAGTAAGCAGCCCTTAAATCACATACGTCTTATTTATAAACTGCGTTGGCCCCATTGAGAACTTAAGCCTTCATTAGCTGATTTTTATATAGGCTTAATTTTGGACGCTATAAGTGGTAAGCCAATTTGTAAAGAGAGTAATTTAATTAAGATGGCAAAAATTCGATGTTTCCTGATCCTGTTTGTGCCTATGAATTTGTAGCATGTCCCACTGCTGCCTTCTACCTTAAGTTCCCCTTTCCATGCTGCTAGATGTCATGGAGATTAATATGTTGACAATAGTATTCCTTATTTTTTCAGTATTTTGGTAATTTTCATACTAAACCTCCTGAGTCATCCAAGGCTTGTTAAGTCTTTAAAAAAGAAATGGAGAAAAAGACTGAATAACAGGAACATGTCTCTCCCTTTAGCATTAGGAATTGAGAGCTTCCTAGAAGGAAATAGGGTAACAGTGAGTTTGATCCTGAATACCAATGAATTGTTAAAATTATACATTTCTAATCTGCATTTAAAAGATATTCTCTAGGCCAGCCCACCCCAAATGCTGTGGATTATAGATACCTAAGAGGAAATTGTTTCATAGGTAGCTCCTAGATACTGTGACATGGAATGACCCTCCACCACTGGTCCCTTCATCAAGTGTCCTTAGGTTGGGGACGAGTTATTCAACTACCTCTTTACAATCCACTGGCAGAATGTTGTAGATAATCCAGGATGATTTTGCTCAAGGCCAACTCTTTTACAAAATCTTGAGCATACTCAAACATTATATTTCCAAAGCCCTACAAGGATGACAATGGTTTTGTAGGAACATCTTTAAAATAAACTATTATGAAGTCACCCCTATTTGGTGTATTTTTTTAAATATTTCAAAACTATTCATATAATTAAGATTATCTTTGTCATAGTCATGGAAAAATTGAGAGGATTAATAGGTGAAAAAAATTATAAAGCCATGAGCAAGCTATTATTTCTAGGATATTCAGTAAATATTAACCAATAATAGAACTCCTCTGAAATACCTTTGACTTTTTTCTAATTACATCTGGATTTTCTGGACATCAGGCAATACGTACTATCAGATATTATGGTGGGTAGCTTATAAATAAATATACATCATTTCTAGCACTTTGTATTCCAAGTTTGAATTCTAAGGTATGAACTTAATTAAAAAATTAACTGACTCACTTTTTGTGATGGCTGTTTTTTCATGATCACCATCAATTAGAAAGCCATCATCCATCAAATATAGTAAATGCCATATGGAATAATTTCCTCTAAACAATATAGTTATCAGACCCATCATCAGAAAATAAATTCCTCCCTGAAGATGTTGTAAAAGCCTTGTAGCTTTAAGAGGAGAGAAGTTAGTTTGAGATGGAGACAAATTTAATATAGTCCAAAGGCTGTGTTCACATTGTTAGTTTAGTTCAGAAGAATTCCTAAGGAATCAAAAATATAATTATCTTTTTTTTTTTTACTAGTTTTCATTTCTTTATATTTCGGTTGTCAAATTCACTCTGTGGCTCATTCCGAGATCCCCTTTCTTTCTTTCCAGGTGAATCACATTGTTTTTGGGAACTATCATCAGTTGTTATGCTTAGAAGGAAATGTTTCTCAGAAGATCCTGAGAGTCTCTGCTTGTGACCCAGAAAAGCAATGCCAAAAGTGGAAATTTGAAAAATATTATGAAGACTAAAGAACAACTAATACTTTTATCTAGTAAACCCATTAGACACTGTGACAATGACAGTGGATGTGGTGACTGTATTTCTCCATGGTAGTTTACATTTTCAAAATTAAGAGCATTTGAATAGGAGATTTAAAAACCCACAATATTTGAGAAACCAAAAGTGAGCTCAGGGAAACAACCTAACGTTGAACTGGAGTCCATCTTCAGCTCTAGGTGGCCTTTTGAATTGCATGCTTCCTGCCCTGTGCTGGATGGACCTCAGCCTGCCAACTTCCCATGCAATCAAACAAGTAACAGGAAATACAGGAAATGAAGCCAAAAGTACTTGAGGAAGTACAATGATATTCATGATGACTGATTTTGATAATAACCAGCTCTTTTGCTCCACAAGTAGGTATAATCAATGAGAACCTATTCTTTTATTTGCTTTTTTTTTTTTTAATTCAAAAAATTACTTGAGTTCCTATAGCAAAAAGGCCTCAGAAACACACAGCTGTCATCTTGGTGAAGTCCCTCCCAGCTACATGCCTGTTCATCTAACAGTATCGTATCATACTCCTCAATGATAAGACTTTGATCTAGATGATTACATAATGGTTTTTTGTTTTTTGTTGTTTTTTTTTTCCCCCAGTCTGAGTCAGTGGGAAAAAACTTTAAGTGAGGAAGTCAAATGCTTATTCAGTTCTAGATATAGACATTGTTTCAATTCATTTTGTGCCAAAAGAAGAGTCGTGCTAGTAACTTCCTAGATTTAAGTGGATATTAAAAAAGAAAAAAAAAAAAAGGCAAAGGAAGAGAGGCTGGGTCACAATGCACTGTAGTTACCAAAAATACACTAAAGATACACTTAATAACACTATAATGTAAGACCAAATAAGAGGAGCTGAAACAAAGCAGCAATAGAGCACTGAAAAATATTAAAGATTTATATAAAATATGACTTTAGATTTAACAGCATTCACCGGGATGAAGTAAGCTACAAGTAAGCTCTAAAAGATTTCAAAGTAGAAGTAAAATGAAGTAAATATAATGAAAGGGGAAGAGAAAGAGGTAAGCAACCCTCTGGAAGAGAGTTAAGAAAAAAATTGACCTAGACTTGGCCAGAAAAGAAAAGGAGTCTGGTACCTCTGTGAGGTGGGGGTGGGAGATAAGGCCGTGGATGTGGGCCTAATGATTACACTGATAAATTTGGGGGAAAGTCCAATAGTTCTTCAATCCACATTGAATTCCTAACCTTACGCATGTCAGTATTTAGGCATACCAGAAGAGATTCTAGAAATCCTAACATCCTTTGTATTGATTTTTGGTAAGAAAATTGATGCCCAGAAAACATATTACCTGTCTAAGAGTCCCACACCAGTTAGTGAGAGATGAGGATTCAAATTTGGATCTCCAGAGACAGGACTCAATGCACTGCCCCAGGCCGCTGACCTAAACAAATCTGTTTCACAGTTTTCTTAAGAAAGAGAGACATAAACCTTTTTGCAGGCATTGGGTCTCTGGAGGAAAACCATGCTATATGCTTGTTAATATAAAAACAAAGCTTTGTTCAATTGAGCTGATGGTTAAACTGGGCATCTTTAGTTCTGACTTCCTATTTAAATTTTAATTTTATTTCCCAATTAATTGCACAAAAGCAGAGCTATAGATATGACTCAGAAGGGAAACAATTCTGCCTATTTGCATCGTATTTAAGATGTTTTATTCAGATAATTGACATTGCAGATGAGATAAGAGAATGACTAGAAAATGAGATAATTCTTTTCAAAACAGAGCCATATGGGGGATAAAACACAAGTCAGTTGCCAAAGGACTAACTGAGTTGCTGACCAAACTGAATATGCTGAGTGCCTCATGCAATTCTTTGTATAACTGCAAAAATGTTGAAAGGTTTTTTTGCCCCCAGTCTGAAGACTCTTTTATTCGAAAACAGTTTCCACAAAACACATCAAGTCTATTCAGAAAAAGACAATTATGGTTTGGAAACACTTACCTTTAGACATACGAGTGAAAGAAATTTGAATGTTTTTCACAAAAATCTTCTACAGTCTGTTCAGTGTATGCTCTTCCTGACTTCACCTTGACATAATACAAAGCTATACTGGAATCTATATTGTCAATATAGCAAAGGATTGTTTTCATGCATAACATATTTGTTCTTGGAAAGAATTTTAAAAAGAGCTTTTACCATATATTTACTCAACTACTCTAAGATGCAAGGAACTAATCATTAATTGGAAATCTTATAGGCCTAAACTTCAGAGTATTGACTAATTGTGAAATCTACAACACTTTTTATTTTTATTTTTTTAATTACCTCCTTTTTTATTTTTTACTTTTATTTTTTTATGCTTTTTTTATTATGTTATGTTAATCACTATACATTACATCATTAGTTTTTGATGTAGTGCTCCAAGATTCATTGTTTGCGTATAACACCCAGTGCTCCATGCAGAACGTGCCCTCTTTAATACCCATCACCAGGCTAACCCATCCCCCCACCCCCCCAATGAAACTGGACCATTTCCTTACACCACACACAAAAATAGACTCAAAATGGTTGAAAGACCTAAATGTGAGACAGGAGTCCATCAAAATCCTGAAGGAGAACACAGGCAGCAATCTCTTCGACCTCAGCCGCAGCAACTTCTTCCTAGAAATATCGCCAAAGGCAAGGGAAGCAAGGGCAAAAATGAACTATTGGGACTTCATCAAGATTAAAAGCTTTTGCACAGCAAAAGAAACAGTCAATAAAACCAAAAGACAACTGACAGAATGGGAGAAGGTATTTGCAAATGACATATCAGATAAAGGGCTAGTATCCAAAACCTATAAAGAACTTATGGAACTCAACACCCAAAGAACAAATGATCCAATCAAGAAATGGGCAGAAGACATGAACAGACATTTTTCCAAAGAAGACATCCAAATGGCCAACAGACACATGAAAAAGTGCTCAACATCGCTCGGCATCAGGGAAATCCAAATCCAAACCTCAATGAGATACCACCTCACACCAGTCAGAATGGCTAAAATTAACAAGTCAGGAAACGACAGATGTTGGTGAGGATGTGGAGAAAGGGGCACCCTCCTCCACTGTTGGTGGGAATGCCAGCTCGTGCAGCCACTACCAACACTTTCTAAAGCATTACCCCTCTATATTTTGTTTTCAGAAGACTGTAATAAATGTGTAAATGATACTAGGCCTCTGGCACTTCTAGTGAGAAACCCCTGAGTGGGACACACTAGGGTCCTATTCAACTCTAAATTCTTCAGTAGGAGGCTATGTTATGGGGAGACTTCAGAGTTTTCCTTGGGTTGGCTTAAGTCATTGCCTTTTCTTAGAGAAGTGTCTATACATTTTGTTACTTTAAACACAAGCATAGTTTTGATATTTTACAGGACTTATTTGATCAAAAACTAACTTACCAGACCATCTGAGTGCTTCTGAACCTTTTGGTTTGCACAGTTCCTTTCTCTTTTTCAACAGTTACCCAGAGCTTCTCCCTGAAGGATGACACAGCTGTTGTTGGTACAACCATGTTTTATCACCAGCATCAAATTTGCTCAATTCCGCTTGCTGACATTCAATCAGCTGTCATTCACAGGGCCAAAAACCACCATATGCCATAATCATAATGTATTGTTAGTTTTCCACAACTAATTTGGAAAATTCTCTTAGCTTTGAAAACACCTTGCTTATAGTATTGCCTTAGGGATTGTAGAGGAGCAAAGATACCAGTTATAGTGTATAGGAATTCAAATTCTCCAGTCAACCTTGAATTTATGAATGGTTTAGGATGATTTTCAAGGAGTTCTCATGCAAGAGAGTGGGGTTGAGGCTGGCCAGATAGTACCATCTTTATTTGTTTTAACAATTTTAACTTCCATGTTCAAACACAGAAAAGAAATTACGCCTCACATGAGGATCCCAGTATCTTTGATACAAACAAGGAATTTACAGGGAATAAAGGGAAAACAGATGAGAACTGATTATCTTTGAGTACCTACCATGTGCTAGGCACCGACTGTACCCCATTTCACTGTTGTACACAACTCAGTGAATTAGGTCTTACTCTCCTCATTATATGATGGCTGAGAGGTATTATCTAAGATCATCCCACTAGTAAGAGATTAAAATCTGGTTTCCATTCTATCTGGCTGAGAAAAAAGAAGAAGAGGAAGAAAAGAGTCTCTTTGACGGCAACATGTTGCTATGATTTGTTTGTTTTTTTTTTCTTTAAGCAGGGCAGTCAACTTGGGTGGGCTCAATTAAAATCCCTTCATTGTGAAGTCAAACGTCTTAGATCTCCCTTGGCTGTGATATAGAAGATGCACCTTTTCTTTTAACTGAAATGTAGGCTTAAGGTTAGCTATCCCCACCTGCTTTGCAGTTGTCTATCTCCTTGACTTCATGCAGGACATATTCTTTTCCACTTCCTATAATAAATATGAGGAGAAGCAGACATAGAGAAATTGCTTCCCTGTAAATAATACTGCCAACTCTTTCTTCCCCCAACCATTAATCAAAGCTGACAGATTGCCCAATTTCAACAGAGATGGGAAGTAAAACATTGAAGAGTCTTTTAATTTAAAATAAAAACTATAGCCTGTAACTTTTACTTCATTGTGTGGATGGTCACCATAGTGCTTTTACAACTTTTGTGTAGGTTATTCAAAAATTGCTATGAGCCATGTGCCTTGAAATGAAGAAAGGAACACTAACCAAAGCTAATATACAAAATATTTATTTTTGGCAAATAGCCATTCCATGGAAAAGTTTGAGTAAGCTATGTAAAGTATTAAATACTCCTCATGAGGTTTAATGGATGGTATTTCAGGTAGGTGTTGGCACCTAACAGAAAGGAAAAAAAAAATCCCATCACAATAAGCAGATTCAATGCCTCTGTTTTCAACCTAATAGGTCAACTAGTAGTTACCATTCCAATAGGGTCTCTTTGCAAGTTTATGTGAATCATTGCTTTGCAAAAACATACAGGAAAGTTCTCATTTTTCAACAAATAGATCAACTTCTAATATGGAGAGTTTCTGATGATGACAGTTGCCATTAAATAAGTAACAAATAATATCTTTGAAAACAGGGGCTTTCTATTTTATTATTGATTGATTGGTATTTACCAGTTCAAGGATATTAGTCATAAATATCTATATAAATAAAACCTTTATATTAGATATAAAAACTAATTTTTTGAGGACCTAGATTATCTTTACTTGACCAAAAACATATCGATCTTTGTAAATATATATGTATACATACATATATATCCATATAGATAAATATGTGTATATATTCATATGTGTGTGTGTGTGTGTGTGTGTATGAGTCTCTATATTGTGCTTTGAAGTGGGAGAAGATAAGACCAAGAATTCCTGCTTATAAATATAAAGAAAACTATGAATGTTTTTGGATATTTTTAATTCTTTTAAGTGCACAACTTTGCATCTGGCCTTCTGGACAAAAGTATCTCCAGTGGACTTTCACTCTGGGTATCATTTTCCATACTTGAAGGGAGTAGCCAAATTCTAAATTATCAAGATGCTTGTCATTCATTTTGGATTATGCACATGCCTTAATTCTCCTCCTTCAAACAACTGCCCAGATGTTGCTAGTTTTACACATATTAGCTATCAGAGGTGGACAGAAATATAAGAGAAGGCAAAGGTCAAATTAGTGAATTTTCTTATTGATTACCTAAAAACTTCTGTTAATGGGAGAATGAGATTGAAACAATGGAATATAAAGGAATTTGGAGTTAATTTGAACATTTTGAAGTACCCAGTTTTTCAGCCTCTACTAACTGAAGTTATTATAAAGAAGGAATCAAATATGTAATTTTAAGTCACTAACTAAAAATTCAGATTACTTTCCAAATTCATTTCCAAAACTCTCCCACACTGTCAGTTGATTACCAGGTACTGTCCTTTGATTTTGTAGTTTGCCTTGTATCTGTTGGGTGATTTCTGCTGTTGATTACTACCCATGACACTGTGTTTATGTTAATTGTATAGCTTAGTCACCTCATGTTCCTCATGAGCTGTATACACATTTTGGTATTCATATTTATTTTGTTACTGTCTGATATTTTAATATTGGCAAATGTTTGCTATAACTTCTGATATTACTTTTTATAGCCCTCTTGTTTTTATAGAGCAGTGAAAGTTAAGCCTTTAAAAGTAGTTGCCTTTCTCATATGGTCAAACATATTTCTTCTTTATGATACTCTGGTGCTTCATCTTTTTCCATAATTCTCTATTATTACTTATTTTAAATGCTTTTCCTATCACTTTGAAAAATTAGATGTCCGTTCTTCATTTGAAAATGTGCCAAAAGTACTACCCCATGTAAGTATGTGAAACATTACTATAAAAGTGTCAGCATGGTTTAAATGTATTACCTTGATGGCTATAAAGATATATATATGTTTTCAAGTTGTTGGAGTTAAAGTGTATCTAAAACAAGAGCTTAGTTCCTATAAAAATAATACAAATTTTTCATTAACATTACATACCAACCTACCAGAAATTCTTTTTGCAATTGTGTACACAATCATTTTAAGACCTTTTTGAAATAGTGCTTTTTGAATTTAAATAAGGTGTTCTCTTGATTTCTAAAGCAGCATTTCTTAATGGTCTTTAATAGCTGCTGATATGCAAGGGTTCTTCCTACATTTTAAAGGGCAGTGAAAGAAAATAAATTCTAGACACCAAAAACAAGGACACAAACTTTTATTGAGAGCAAGCCAGACACAGCAGTTCTTTATTTAAATTGTAGACAGATGATAGATAGAGTCTGACATATTCCATGTCTTCCAGTGTGGCATTATATGAAAGGTAAATTTTATATTGACAAATAAATAGAGCTTTTATTAATTCCTGTTCACCCCAAAACTAAGAAAAATTAAAAGTCATGTAAGAAATAGCAACATTCTGGGGCGCCTGGGTGGCTCAGTCATTAAGCGTCTGCCTTCAGCTCAGGTCATGATCCCAGGGTCCTGGGATCGAGCCCCGCATCGGGCTCCCTGCTCGGCGGGGAGCCTGCTTCTCCCTCTCCCATTCCCCCTGCTTGTGTTCCCTCTCTCACTGTGTCTCTCTCTGTCAAATAAATAAAATTTAAAAAAAAAAAGAAATAGCCACATTCTCACAAGAAATCAATTCTCCCTCCTAACATGTACCAGAGTCCTTCTTCCATCCACCCCTGAACCTTGAATCACAAAAGCAGTAAATCTTCCAGTATAGTTACCAATTTGTGTTCTACCTTGTCTTGTAAGAGCGTCTAATATGTTAAATATCCCTTATGAAATCAGAACCATACCCTTGCCTTTCCTAGGCTATAAAGAATCAAATAGTCACCTAACCCCATTAGTGTTACTTATGATCACTTAACTCTGTGGCCTTAGTGTAAGATGGCAGCACAGGTCAATGGGCATTAATGTCAAAGAGCAGTTTCCATGCTCTTTCGTAGCTACACTGCCTCATCCATAAGCACTAAGCATTTGCTCACTGAACATACCCTGATAAAGTCTTTGTTGACAAAATCTTTCATATTTGGTTAATTATATGGTAAGAGCACAAAGCTAAAAAGGCCAGGGTTACTATGTGTTGGATCCCCATAAGATCCAGTTCCTTGGCCATGTCACACCATAGACCACTCAGCTCACTCAAATTCCACAGGAATTCAACACTTCTGCTGGAACAATTAGAAATAAAGTTTCTGTTGATGGTAGGTTAACAATATGCTCCTATTCCATGATGGATAATAAAAGACTGTGCATTGAAGCTAAGTAGAAAATTGTAGGGGTCATCAGTAATCCAGAAAAGAAAATAGGTTGTCCAGGTGGAACAATTTAGAGGATCTAAATAAATAGGAAATTGTCTGAGTGCACCAATCTTTTACCTAAATTTACCAATAAACACCTGATTTCCCTGGCTTTCTTCTGAAAACTTGCATTATCAAGAAGGAAATCTATAGGTTCTACAGATGAAGAGTGACAGACTTTTACATGATCAGGTTGCAAAATATCTGCTTGAAAGGATAAAAGAAGCTCTTCAATCCTGAATTCAAAATTGAGTCTTGTAAACAGTAAATAATAGTATATGATACCATGGGAATATATTATATGACCAGGGAGAATTAAAGAAATTTCCATTAGAATGTGTGGGATTTGTTACACATAAATAAGCAATAATCTAAGAAGGCCTAACCCGGGTATTTTCACAAAGTGAAAAAGAAATAAACAAAGGGTTGAATAGTACAATGAAGACTGTATTACATTCAGACAATAAGGAATTGTCTTTTTATTTGCAGAGCCAAAAATATCTTTATCTGTGGTGACAGAAAGTTCAGGGTGATATATATGGAAGCCTGAAATGAAAAATTAAGAAACTATCTAAGAATATAAATATAGATTCTCCCTTTTCATAAATATTCAATACATTATTTGACACACTGGCTTGAGTGAAGCTCCATAGGCACAATTTAAGCATCTTGATTTGGGCTGAGGTCCAGTAAATTACATATTCCCAGCAACTATCAGAGCTTTCTCACTAAAAATACATGCTCACACTCTACTTTGAAAATATCCTAAGATAATTATTTCCATTATCATAGTAACTAGTACAGTTATGACTAGAGTTGTCTTGGGTTTCTAAGGAAAGAAAATTATTCTGAGATACTGTTAATAAGAGAAAGTGTGGTAATAGAGAGGGGTATTTTCTTAAAATTGTGCTAAAGCTGTCATTTTCACTTTTAATGACTTTAACTGTGCGAGACGAGATTTTATTTTCAGTTACAGAAATAAACTATCTGACTCTTTAGTCTATTGCCCACCAATTTTCTAGCCCCTCCCTGTATCAACCTCACAGTGAGTTTTATTCATCTTGAGTGCATAAAGCCAACATTTAGTCAGAATCTTCCTGACTGACAATTGCTTGGCCCCTCTAGTGAGAAAATTCAGTGAATGGTAACACCTAGGAAGAAAGCCTATACAGACTTTTCACTCTAGAGGCTAAAGAAAACCACTTAAAATCTTATTCGAAGATAACAGAAAAGGCAAAAACATTTTGGACAGCTTATTGCCAGTGTCTATAAAAACATGTTTAAAAGAAAGAGAAGTTTAATACCAGACTTTCTAGCACCCTCAGTGTGTAGGAAGAAAGACACCAAAAGAGATACAGGTCATTTCTCATAGTCCTCTTTCATCTGATGACTGTATTTCTCAGTGTTGCTACTTTTAAAGCCAAATCATGCCAGATTCTTCAGGGGCGCTTGCTGTTTGCTGTTTAGTGCTTATCACACAAGTCTGTATTAGTGAAATTTTAAAAAGCAAATGCCCACGAATGAATCTAAAGCTTTTTGACTTGAGGTTACCAGACTGAATTTTGTCTAGGATTATTTCCATATTATTCTACAGTGAAACAGAGATTAAGCTTTCACATCTTTAAAGAGGATGACTCAAATAAGACATGCAAAGATCATCTCAGGAAAATAGAATTAGCTTTTGCTTTAGTGGGCAGGAGAATTTCTCAGTTCCATTTAGTTTATAAGTGCATCATAGACTCGAATTCATCAATTCTCTGCTTGGTGTTCCCCTTCCTGATTTTCCGATAGGATATTGTATTGTATCTTGAATAAGCATTTCTAGAGATATCACTCTTCTTCCCGAAGGTTGGCTGCTCCTCAGGTGTCACAGGTTGGGAACTGGGGCTGCTCAGTGGGGAGTCCTCGTTTGCATCAACTTCCTCTTTTAATTGAGAACCCTCTTCATTTTTTTTCTTAAATTCTATTACTCGAACTTCATCTTCATCATCATTGCAATCATCATCATCATTATTAATTTCTTCATCCCAAACCTCTTGCTCCTCCTCATGTTTAGAATGCAACACATCAACTTGGCTAGGTTTCCGAAATCCCAACCATTCCATTTCAGTTGCCTGGTGAGCTTTGTTCTTCCCATCCTCCTCTTCCTTCTCTTCTAGAGGTTGTTCAGCAATCCTTTCCTTTTGTCTACTTATTTCCTGGCTACTGATGCTCAAAGGAATCTTCTCCCATTGATGTCCTGTAGCAAAATCAATTGGTAATTGAAATACCGAGCTCTTATTCTTTATACTATGTTTCTGGATAATCATTTCCCCACACGTGCTTTACAGGATATTATTCTGTGGGTTAATAATACGTTTTACACAATAAAATGGGTTGTACTATCAGATTAGTTTGGAAAATACTGCATTAAACACAGCTAAGTAAGCTTCAGAATTTATGCAAGTCTTTAAAATGCCAATGAATATTGTGAATCTCTAAGAAGTCGACAACTCAACTTCATTTGACCATGAAACATTTTTTTGTTGTGACTGTTGTATCTAGTGAGACTGGTGTTCCTGAGACAGACTTTTAAAATCCTGTCTAGCCTGTAGTGACTGGAAATGTGAACATAGAAAATAAAATATTTGGACCTATCTCTTATACACACACATACACACACACATATTCCCCAAGGAAAATTAGAAAAATATCTCACAGGAGAAAAAAGGCTTTCTTCCAGTAGTAAAAACAATGACTTCCCACATCTGGGCATGCTCAGAATAGCACATTCAGTACTTGCCACCATGCTTCTCAGAGTTGTGCTAAAGTTCCTGCTGTGGAAGGAGGAGCAGGGAGCCATGGATGGTCAGGAGTCATATGCTGGGCTAACAGTGACACCAAGCCCACCAAAGCACACACAATGTCATCTAAGATCTGCCATTGATTTCTAGAAAGCCAAGCTTTAAAAATCTTGTTGTGGTCATCTCTATATAGTGCTAGGTTAGCCTGTCATGTTAGACATATCCCTCATAACAACTAATTAACTAATTAAGTTGTTTGGTACCATATAGTGACTTTTACAAGGCTTAATTAATGTCAAATTTCACTTTTCAAACAGATCACATCAGCATATCCTTAACAATATTTATTGAGCATGGTCAAAAGAATTAGAGTGGAGGTTGTTCTCTGGGCGTTCGCCTCTAAAGGGACTTCTGTGAGAAGCTTCAGTCTATGCGTGACTTTAAAATACTGTATAGATTGTGTGCTTTGTCAGGCTTCCGTTCACTATTCCCTTTCAACACCATAAGAGTCTTTAAATAAAGTGAGAGGCAATGTTCCTCTTTGCCTTTCCCCGCCACAGCTTTCTACTTTCACTGAGAAATTTTTACAAGTCCATTACCAGTCAAGATTTTTCATGCTCGTTTCATTTTTTTGTTTTCCCAACTACAGGAATCAGATTGTAAACTTACAAAAAGAGATAGAAGTGAAGATGGATTATCATTCCTAACTGGTTGTACACAGTTCCTATCAGGTTGTTGGTGCCCAGTCAATGTTCTTTACATTATAAATAAATATACATTAGCATGTTTGCTATAATCTTAAGCTTTCTTTTACTGTCTTCTTTTCCATAAGAACCAAAGAAACTGATTTTTTGCTCACACCATGACTCAGGCATGGAGCTGTCATGCATGAAATTACTTCTTGAATTTAAATTATAGTTTTTCCTCAATATTTTTAGCATCTTGCTATTTTTCAACCCAGGAGTATTCTCTTTGGAGACTTTATAGCTGTTTGTCATTGTGAAAACTGAAGACACCAACATGTGCCTTACAGGAAAAACATATGTTCCACCAAACACAAAAGGATTCATTCAGGGAAAAATTCACCCTGACACCATCTACTTAAAAAATCCAGACTGCTTTGATTCTCTATTTGATAAAATGAAAGATCCTAGCAAACTGTTGTCTCCAGTGGACTTCCTGATCAGATATTTGAAAGGGTCTTGGGGCACCTGGGTGATGCAGTTTGTGAAGTGTCAGTCTCCTGGTTTCAGCTCAGGTCGTGATCTTGGGGTTGTGAGATCGAGCCCCAAGTCAGACTCCATGCTCAGCTCAGAGTCTGCTTGAGACTCTCTCCCCCTCTCCCTCTGCCCTTCTCCATTGCCTGTGTGCTCTCTCTCTCTCCCAAATAAATATATAAATTTAAAAAATTTTTTTGAAAAGTTCTCTAGATGCACTGCCTGTGAGAACTTGCTACACTGGAAACAGAAAGATTAGGGCAGAGAAGTTATTTAGTTCATTTCATGGGGCTTAAAGCTTAAGTTTTATAAATTACCTGTAAAAGTTTAATAATGGTTGTTCTTTACTACATTTATTACAATAGTGGTTGTTCCACCACTACATAGGGACAGCAGATAGTCTGGGAGATGTCCAAGCAAAGTGGACAAACCCAAGAAACTGCCAATTACATCCCTGTCTTCCTTGGCATCTACTATTTTATGTGATGTTCTAATATTTAGAAAATAATAATCTCTTCCATTTTTGCCTATTAAGGTCCTAACTAAGCTAAATTGCTCAAGGTCTAACGAACCGACTTCAATTTTGAGATAAGATGTTTATGGTTGCAAAAGAGGAAATGAGTGATCAATTAATATGTGTTTATCCTGCACTTGATTTAGAAATTGCTTCAACATAGGTATCTTCTTAGAGGTAAAATCTAAAAGATTTTGTTCTTCTTAGTCTCTTGAGTTTATTTGAAATATAAGTCACTTAAAAATCAATGTATTTCTTATTCTCTTATTTTCTGAAAGAACACAATTAAAATTAGCTTCATCACCTGGGAGATTTCTTTAACAAGAATTAGATAACCATTTTCTGCTGACATAGAGGCCTAGAACTTTTCTATAGATCAAATAAATTTATAATATTACTTTAAAATGTATGTCAATAGTAGGATTTTAGGTAAAACATTCACATTTCACAAGGTGCCTGACACAGATTTAGAGACACTAAATAAATCTTACAAAAGAATTTATTTAGTGGACTAACTTATTAAGAGACTGATAATCATTTTGTCAGGTGAGGGCATGCCAATCAGTTATACCAATTCATGCAGTCGCAGTCTTGATGTTTCTGGAATACTTTTTAAGGTGAAACCCACAGATAATCAGGACTACTCCCTTATCTGCCTATAGCAGCTTTGAGTTTTTGAAGGCATTGCCTGGATTGCTTTTTTGACATCACATTCACATTCACAAAACATCCCATGCAAAAACTCCCATCCATATTCAGTCAGACAATGTCTGTGTACAAAATGGAAGTTCCTCTCACCTTCTCTGAATGTCATTTCATCAACACTTGCTTCTTGGAGAGAAAGATCTGTGATAGCCTTATGAACAAGAAAAAGATTCTCTTCTGGTTTTTCTGGGGGAAAAAACCCACAAGATTAATACTATAATATTTAAGCAGCTCAAGTTTAAATAAATTATCAATTTAGACTCTAGCTAGGTAGATCAATTTGATTTGCAATGTGATCACTAAAAGTAACTATTTCACTGTCCCAACTCATTTCTTATTGGTTCCTACTTATAAACATAAGGATAACCTCTCCTTTTCCATCTGTATGTTATAGAACCATGAATTCAGACATGTTCAGGTATATTTCAGAAGGAAAACTTGAAGTGCTGAATTTCCTTTGCTTAAATAATAATGGGGCTGTCCATAATAATAATAAATAACAGTAGTTAACATTTAACCAACACTTAGTAATCCTCACAACAACCCTACAAATGTCAGTACTTATATTTCTGTCTTCTGCTAACCGAGAAAGCTAAGGCTTCAGGGGGCTAGGGAAGTTGTCCAGGGTCATAAAGCTATCAAATAAATAAGCCTGGATTTGACCTGATGCAGAGGTTTGGTCCTTAGCTATCTAGCCCCAGTAGAATAAGAGGCCACATTTGGGCAGGGACATGGGTGGGAGGATGGACAGCACATTCCCGTCATAACAGTTTATCAAAAGAATCACGAAGTGAGTTCACAAATTAAATCAAACAAATCAAAGAGAAAGGAAAATGTTTTACCTTTTAGAATCTTCTCATCAGTGGACCAGTTAACTACCATATTCCCTTGTAATTTTTCACTTTTCTCCTGATTTCCTTCTGTGGGTAGGTCTTCAAGATGGGGTTTTACCCTGTAGTATGGTGAGGTACCATCCACATCACTGGATCCCTCATTTGTTTTAGTGATTGGTTGTTGACCATTTTCAGGTGGTGTATCCCCATTGCACTCAGCCTGACTGAGTGTCCCTGGAACATCTGTCATGATGTACAGTTGAGTCCGAGAACGCAGAGAGAGCTTTGGGGAAACTGAAGGAAAAGATCCTTGATAGATGTGTTCTCTCCCCTTCAAGTTCTATAGTTCCACCTCCTACTCTGAGAATACAAAGTATTTGCCTCAGTACACAATAACAAACTCTTTTCCTAAAGGTGTCCAGATAGAGCTTAGAACAAAAGCAGTAGGATTTGTCAGATTTGCCACCAGCCCAGGAGCAAGCATCCAGCCAATCACCACCTTCTTTGTCGCTGGGCAGCCTCACTTGGTGAACTAATGGCAGCCTTTTGATTTACATAAACAAACAATCTGAGGCAATCAGGCTTTTGTGTTGGCATGTAGAGGGGGACTTTCAGCTTGTCAGTGCCCCCCTGGGAACAGAGATTTTTGTCCCTTTTCATAAAGGCCCTTTGTCATTTTCCTTGTAACAGGAGCCACAATTGTTCCACAGCTTTAATCCAGAGAGAATGACCACCTTGAGGCATATTAGTTCTGTGTAACCAGCTTAACATTTCCAAACAGATTTTGTTCAAGTCAAACCTCAGCTATTTTGTAGGGATAATGGCATCGTTTCTTATTCATTAAAGAATAAAAACAGCTTATCAAAAACCTGTAAATAGGACAACTTTATTGTAAGTGGTTCTGACAGCAGATTCCATGGTGTGTTTCAGGAGCCCAGAGGAAAGACCTAAGAAAAAACAAACAAAAAAATTCTACCATCTTGCTAATACCAAAAATTTTACATTTTAGAATAATTCATCTGGTCCATAGCTTCTTATCCTCTAGTTTATTTATGTTTATTGAAGCCCGTACTATCTTTTAAACCCTTAATATAATTTCCTCCATGGAGTTTTCCCTTTCCCCAATCAGATTTATTCTCAATATTCCCTATTGATATTGCATGATGCTGGTAAAATCATATAGCACCAACATAGCCTGCCCTTGGGGGAAACAGGTAATTATGGAAAACATCTGCTACTTACCAACCTTACCTTTTTATTTTTTATATTTTCATTTTTTTAATTTAAGAATTTATTTTATTGGGCGCCTGGGTGGCTCAGCCGTTAAGCATCTGCCTTCAGCTCAGGTCATGATCCCAAGGTCCTGGGATCGAGCCCCTCATCAGGCTCCCTGCTCCACAGGAAGCCTGCTTGTCCCTCCCCCACTCCCCCTGCTTGTGTTCCCTCTCTCGCTGTGTCTCTCTCTGTCAAATAAATAAAATCTTAAAAAAAAAAAAAAGAATTTATTTTATGACACAACAAAAACTCATTAAGTTTCAATGGAAATACATTAAAAATTCACATATTATTTTCCTTGTGATATTGAAAATATGAATTCAGATACACATTCACAAAAGATGTACAAAAAAATTTTCATGGCAGTGAATAATTCACTAATTGGTTTTCTGTTAGAAACAACATGAAAACCAGCTTCTTTAAAGTTTAGGTTCTTTTCCATATGAAAATTTGACTCATGGTACTCCAATAATTTAAAAACTGGAAAAAATTCCTTCAAGACTTAAAGGAGACAGGTAGAGTAATAACATCAAATACAACTGAAAAATAAAAGTGTCAGTTTGAGAATAGATTATAATAAAAAGGTATGATTCTTTGTAAAGTAGATCAGCATTTTCTAATGATTGGTTATCTAGATTAAATCTAGATAAATCTAGATTAAAACCATACGAGATGTTCTGACAAACAGGAGCAGAAAAGGGGTAGTTTAATGTAGCCAAATGCTTTTAAAAATAAGAATTGCTGTATTAATTTTTTAGACTATCACAGTGATCACGGAGTTAAGAAATCAGTTTATTTTATTTAAATTCAAGTTACTTAACATATAGTGTAGTATTGGTTTCAGAAGTAGAATTTAGTGATTCATCACTTGCCTATAACACCCAGTGCTCATCACAAGTGCCCTCCTTAATATCATCACCCATTTAGCCCATCCCCCACCCCCGTTCCTTCCAGCAACCCTCAGTTTGTTCTATGTAGTTAAGCCTCTTATGGTTTGCCTCCCTGCTTCTATCTTATTTTATTTTTCCTTCCCTTCCACTATGTTCATCTGTTTTGTTTCTTAAATTCCACATATGAGTGAAATCATATAGTTTTGTCTTTCTCTGACTGACTTATTTCGCTTAGCATAATACACTCTAGTTCCATCCATGTTGTTGAAAATGGCAAGACTTCATTCTTTTTGGTCACTGAGTAATATTCTGTTATTATACATTGGATTATATATTCCATAATATTCCATTATATATATATATATATATATATATACCACATCTTCCTTATCCATTCATCAGTCTATGGACACTTGGGTTGTCTCCATAATTTGGCTATTGTTGATAATGCTGCTATAAACATCAGGGTGATGCATGTGCCCCTTCGAATCAGCATTTTTTCATCCTTTGGATAAATACCTAGTAGTGCAATTGCTGCATCAAAGGGTAGTTCTTTTGAGGAACCTCCATACTATTCTCCAGAGTGGTTGCACCAGTTTACATTCCCACCAACAGTGCAAAATGTTCCCCTTTCTCTGCATCCTCACCAGGGTCTGTGGTTTCCTGAGTTGTTAATTTTAGCCATTCTGACAGTTGTGAAGTGGTATCTCATTGTGGTTTTGATTCTTATTTCCTTGATGAGGAGTGATGCTGAGTATTTTCTCATGTGTTTATTAGCCATTTGAATGTCTTCTTTGGAGAAATGTCTGTTCATGTCTTCTTCCCATTTCTTTTTTTTTTTTTTAAGATTTTATTTATTTATTTATTAGAGAGCGAGCGAGAGAGAAACAGCACGAGAGAGGAGAGGGTCAGAGGGAGAAGCAGGCTCCCCGCTGAGCTGGGAGCCCGATGTGGGACTCAATCCCAGGACCCTGGGATCATGACCTGAGCCGAAGGCAGTCGCTTAACCAACTGAGCCACCCAGGCGCCCTTCTTCCCATTTCTTAACTGGATTATTTTTGGGGAGTTGAGTTTGGTAAGTTCTTTATAGATTTTGGATACTAGCCCTTTATCAGATATGTCATTTGCAAATACCTTCTCCCATTCTGTCTGTTGCCTTTTAGTTTTGTTGATTGTTTTCTTAGCTGTCCAGAAGATTTGTATCTTGATGAAGTCCCAATAGTTCATTTTTGCTTTTGTTTTCCTTGTCTCCAGAGACGTGTCTAGTAAGAAGTCATTGTAGCTGAGGTCGAAGAGGTTGCTTCCTGTTTTCTCTTCTAGGATTTTGATGGTTTCTGGTCTTACATTTAGGTCTTTCATCCATTTTGAATTTATTTTTGTATTCGTATCTGTACTTTGAATTTATTTGTGTGTGTGTTGGAGGAAAGCAGTCCAATTCCATTCATTTGCATGTTGTTGTCCAGTTTTCTCAACACCATTTGTTCAGACTGTCTTTTTCCAAAAGTCTTTCCTGCTTTGTCAAAGATCAGTTGGCCATAGAGTTGAGGGTCCATTTCTGGGTTCTCTATTATGTTCCATTGATCTATGTGTCTGTTTTTGTGCCAGTACCATACTGTCTTGATTATTACAACTTTGTAATACAGCTTGAAGTCTGGGAATGATGCTTCTAGCTTTGCTTCTGTTTTTCAACATTATTTTGGCTATTCAGGGTCTTTTCTGGTTCCATACAAATTTTAGGATTGTTTGTTTAGTTTTGTGAAAAATGCTGTTTTTTTTTTTTTTTTTTATCTGAATTGCATTGAATGTGTAGATTGCTTTGAGTAGTATAGACATTTTAACAATATTTTTTCTTCCAATCCATGAGCATGGAATGCTTTTCCATTTCTTTGTGTCATCTTCAATTTCCTTCATAAATGTTCTATAGTTATCAACATACAGATCTTTTACCTCTTTGGTTAGGTTTATTTCCAGGCATCTTATGTTTTCTTGGTGCAATTGTAAATGGGATCAATCCCTTGATTTCTCTTTCTGCTGCTTCATTATTGGTGTATAGAAATGCAAGAGATTTCTGTACATTAATTTTATATCCTGTGACTTTGCTGAATTCATGTATTAGTTCTGGCAATTTTGGGGGGTAGTCTTTCAGGTATTCTATATAGAGTATCATGCTGTCTGCAAATAGTGAAAGCCTGACCTCCTCCTTGCAAATTTGAATGCCTTTTATTTCTTCTTCTTGTCTGATTGCTGAGACTAGGACTTCCAGTACTATGTTGAAGAACAGTGGTGAGAGTAAACATCCCTGTCCCCTTTCTTAGAGGAAAAGCTCTCAGTTTTTCCCCATTGAGGAGGATATTAGCTGTGGGTCTTTCATATATGACCTTTATGATGTTGAGGTATGTTTCCTCTATCTCTACATTTTTGAGGGTATTTATCAAGAAAGATGCTGTATTTTGCCAAATGCTTTTTTTGCACCTATTGAGAGGACCATATGGTTCTTATCCTTTCTTTTATTAATATGGTGTATCATGTTGATTGATTTGTTGATATCGAACCACCCCTGAAGCCCAGGAATAAGTCCCACTTGATCATGGTAAATAATCCTTTTAATGTGCTGTTGGATTTGATTAGCTAGTATCTTGTTGAGAATATTTTGCATCCATGTTCACCAAGGATATTGGTCTGTAATCCTCCTTTTTAGTGGGATTTTTTATCTGGTTTGGGAATCAAGGTAATGCAGCCATCATAGAATGAGTTTGGAAGTTTTCCTTCCATTTCTATTTCTTGGAACAGTTTCAGAAGAATAGGTATTAATTCTTCTTTAGATGTTTGGTAGAATTTCCCCTGGGAGGCCATCCTGCTCTTGGATTCTTTGTTAGGAGATTTTTGAATACTGATTCAATTTCTTTCCTGGTGATGACACTGTTCAAATTTTCTATTTCTTCCTGCTTAAATTTTGGTAGCTTATATGTTTTTTGGGAATTTATCCATTTCTTCCAGATTGCCCAGTTTGTTGGCACATAATTGCTCATAATAGTCTCTTATAATCATATTTCTGCAGTGTTGGTTGTGATCTCTCCTCGTTCAT